CTACTATAGAAAAACTAAATATTATTAATATCATTTCCACACTTCCTGCATCAGGGACGACTCTCAGATATGTATTTTTAATCATTTGTTTAAGGGTGTAAAAGAAATTGTTATTGTTACATATTCTTCACTTTGACCTCTGACCCTTGCAGGTCCCAGTTTACACCACACTCACATCTCCGTGTCTCTGGACGAGAGCAATCGAGTGTGTCCCACAATGTGTCCCACAGTGTGTCCCACAGTGTGTCCCACAGTGTGTCCCATAGTGTGTCCCACAGTGTGTCCTCCAGCTCAGGGGCTCCGTGCGGCTGGCGGGATATCGGACTTACGCACGGGAGGAATTTGTCCCGTGGCGTTCACGGCGGTGTTACGTCATAATTTATTTGTACACGTCATCACGGAGCTTCTTGTCTTACGTGTGTTTGAGTCACTGTGAGAACAACAACGAATAAGCCACAACAAACCCTCTTTAACAGGGTAAAACTGTCCGTCCCTCTGTCTCTCTGTCTGTCCCTCTGTCTGTCCGTCCCTCTGCTGTCCCTCCGCCTGTCCGTCCCTCTGTCTCTCTGTCTGTCCCTCTGTCTGTCCGTCCCTCTGTCTGTCTGTCCCTCTGTCTCTCTGTCTGTCCCTCTGTCTGTCTGTCCCTCTGTCTGTCCGTCCGTCCCTCTGTCTGTCCCTCTGTCTGTCCCTCTGTCCGTCCCTCTGTCTGTCTGTCTGTCTGTCTGTCTGTCCGTCCGTCCCTCTGTCTGTCTGTCTCTCTCGTCTGTCCCTCGCCTGTCTGTCCCTCTGTCCGTCCCTCTGCCTGTCTGTCCCTCTGTCTGTCTGTCCCTCTGTCTGTCGGCGGCCTGATGGAGAGCGTCCGTGACCCTTAAAAGTGGGACAAACGATGCTGCAGTTAACGAGCAGGCGACTCATAACAAGGTGAAATACTGGGACCCATCAGACGGAGGAGGAGGAGGAGGGGGAGGAAGAGGAGGAAGAGAAAGAGGAGGAGGGGGAAGAGTAGGAGAAGGAAGAGGAGGAGGAGGCGGAGGAGGAGGCGGAGGAGGAGGAAGAGCGGGGTTCCCTTTGTGGAGGGAACCCCGCTCCATTGCACCATTTTTAATCATTTTAGTTTTTAAGGCCGTTCCCACAGACACATTTCATACTTGTTTACGTCTCTTCAGAGATCTACAGTTCAGAATCGCACACATTTTTAATTCTGTATTAAGCCATGCGGGAGGGGGAGGAGGGGGGAGGGGGAGTAGGGAGGAGGGGGGGGGGGGGCTATTTCCATGTTCACTTTGCCACATTTTGACAAACATGGCCTCCCCTCGCTGGGGTGGAGGGATTATGTGGCCGTACCAGGGCTTAAGGGTACTGGGGGGACAGATTAGAACCCCCCCCCCCCCCCCCCCCCTGGAGGCGATAAGAGAAACACAGAAGGCGATGAGCTCTGATCTCCAGACACCAGAGCGGCTCCACGTGTGGACATTCAGACGTCTTCAAGCCACTGCGTGGATTTGCTCGTTCTCCTGGAGCTTAAAAACGTGATCTTCCTGCACTGAAGCAGCAGCTCCTCCTCCTTCTCCTCCTCTTGTTACTCCAGATAATTACAGATGTGTCGGACGCGGCTGGAGTGACGCGGCGATACATCTCGCCCGCCGCCGCCGCTCTCAATTAGCTCCCGGCGCTGCAGGTTAATGGGACTTTTGATTGGGGACGCGTGCGGCGTCCTGGCCGAGCGGCGGGTCGACCCCCGTCCTTATCGGCCGCGGCAGAGAGGAGGCCGGCGCTGGCGTGCGTTTTCCACCCGGCACACTGGGCTGTTTATTACGCTCCCTTTGCGCTTTGATGACTTCGCTCTAAACTAATATTCTAATAAATCTGTAAATGGGTCACAAATGCAATAAAACTGCCACTGTTGTAGATGTAAAGTTAATCTGCTGCACTCGATAATGACATCAAACAGCAGCTATGACGTCACCATTTATTTCATTTTTAGACATTTTTTAAAAGTGTGATTCATTATTTATTTCCTGGACTGTTTAGTTGTGTGGAGGAATAGTTTGGGGAGAAAGTCGGGCGTCACAAAGCTGCGGTTTAGGACGAGTCGTCTCTCCGATTCGCACGTCTCTCGTCTTCGGGACCACGACGAGGCGCTTTCTCTCTCTCTTGCGTTCTGGAGTTGGGATCACTCCTGGAACTGGCGCTGGCGCTCTGCCCGCGACCTTTCCCGTGGTCCGTCCCCCAAATGGGTCCCCTTCAAGACGCCGTGGGACTGGACGCCCCGTCGGCCTCGCCTCCTCCTGCACAAAACCTCCTCCAGGGAAAGGCGCTAGCAGAGGATGACACCACACAGCAGCCCGCCGGGCTCCTCCTCCTCCCCCTCCTCCCCCTCCTTCCTCCTCCTCCTTCCTCCTCCTCCTCCTCCTCTTCCTCCTCCTCCTCCTCAGGCATCAGTGGTTTCACTTGAGCTTGTTTGCGGCCATGTTGGGGGCAAGGTGGCAACAACAACACACAAACACTCCTGTAATTTCCAAATAAGGAGCTTAAGGTGGAATTGTTCTCCGGGGGGGGGGGGGGGGGGGCACCACCTCTTTCTTCTTCCCCTCAGTTTATCCACACACACACACACACACACACACACACACACACACACACACCCCTCCTGAGGAATGGCTGGCGAGCAGAGGAGAAATGCGTCCTGACAATCTCCTCTTCCCCCCGGCGGCTGGACGCCAGAAAGGAGCTGCGCTTCTTCTGGGATCTTTTCCTGAAGGTGCCGCAGATGAAGAAAGACGAGGCTGCAGCGCGACGCTAAAGAGCCCCGAAGACGCAGCTATGAGACACTGAACTGAGACGGAGAGGAGAGCTGATCGGTTCCTGATCGGTTCCTCCGAGCCCGACGCCCTGGTCTCACACACACACACACACACACGCACACACAGACACACACACACGCACGCACGCACGCACACACACACACATACGCACACACACACACATACACACACACACGCGCACACACACACACCCGCACGCACGCACGCACGCACGCACACATACGCACACACACACACACACACACGCACACACACACACACACACACACACACGCACACACACGCACGCACAGATACACACACACACACGCACACACAGACACACACACATACGCACACACACACACGCACACACACACACAGAGACACAGACACACACACACAGACATACACACAGAGACACAGACACACACACACACACAGAGACACAGACACACACACAGAGACACAGACACACACACACACACAGAGACACAGACACACACACACACACAGACACACACACACACACAGAGACACAGACACACACACAGAGACACACACACACACACACAGAGACACACAGACACACACACTCAGTCACGTGCAAGTAGAGTTTGCTTCACAGGCAAACTGCTCCTGATGAACCATTTTTCTCAGGAAACGTGGAAGAAATAGTTGAATAAGTTTTGGGCAAAAGTCGAACAACAAATGTGGACGAAATTAAATGAAAATAAAGTCTCTTCAAATTTGATGGGATCTGAAAAGAAAAATGTTGGAATGAACTGTGAGGCGTTTAAGAGCGACATGCATTGAGTGTCCTCTGACGTGACGGAGAAGAGATGACACCTTTGAGTCCGCTAATAGAAATACAGATTTCATCGATACTCGTTGAATTCTTGTTCTGCGTCGCTCTTAACTTTAAGCTGCTCAACCTGCCTCCTGCTTGGGGCCTGATGGCGCCGGCTGCCCCCCCCCCCCCTCAACAGGCCTCAGGCCGCTGCAGCAGATACAGGACGCCCCCAAAATAAGCTCCTTCGGCAAACGGCAGGTCTGACAGGAGAAGCGTCCAGAACAGAAGTTCCCCGCCGTCTTTGTCGTCTTTCCTCTGCGAGCGGCTCGGCCCGCTCTGAATAATTCAGCGTGCGCCCGATCGAACGCAAACAAACGGAATAAAACACGGACGATCACGAGGCGCAAGTATGAACAAACAGCATGTAAGAGCATCAAGGACAGACGGAGCGTCTGGGGTTTGGGGAGACGGATGAGGACAGCGTGTTTGAGGGGCCGGTCCCCCCTCGACCCCCCCACCTCGTTCACCTCCCTAATGATGTGTGGCCCGTCAGAGAGACGCAGCCAAATTACATTCAGGACTACAAAGCCTCCGTCCGAGGTTCTCTCTCTCTGCAAAACAATAACAGGGATTCAGCTGCTGCAAATTGCGCTAAAATTTCCCCTTTCTCTCTCCGTGTGAATTATTAATGAGAGCCAAACCAAAAAAGACAAAAAAAGGAAGCCGAGAGAAATATCTACAGCGCGCCGAGCAGCGATGAAGCCGTAATTATGCCAGAGAATGAGAAATGGAACAAAGTTGTTGGAGCCAGAAGAAGGCGAAGCAGAAACTGAAACTAAGAGCTCAGAGGAAGGAAAAGTAGTTTTATTACAAATGCAAAACGCACAAGCTGCAGCTGCGACACACAATTAAAACGTGGGCGAACAACAGCGTGAGAGAGTGACTGTAAATGAATCCAAGCTCAAACCTACAGAGCCGATCACAAAGGGAGAGGATCTCCGCCTTCAGTCACGTGCTCCAGTTACTGAATACGGTCCGTTTAGCTTCAAGTGGATCAGCAGCAATCAGTAATCAATACCGAATGATGGGCGGATAGAAGAGCAAAGACTAGAGCTAAAGATGGATTTTAGTTCAAATAGTAAAATGTAATTGTTAATTATTTTATGTTAAAAAGCTGATATGAGGTTTTAATTATTTAAGAAAATAAAGAAAGTTTTGCACCAGGCAAGGAAAGCAATAAATATTATTAAATAAATCTATTCAGAATTTGTATAATTGATTTGATGAATAATCTTTAAATGTATTTGAAAAGTCCCAAATGTACCAAATAACGGTGTAAAAGAGGGTATATATATATAAAAACGCACGTGTACATATAATATATATATATATATATATATATATATCACATTATGAGTCAGGTTCCAGCTCCATCAACAAGTCAAAATATCTTTCTTTTTTTTTTCTTATTTTATCAATTAATCATTTCATGTTTTTTATAAAGTGTCACATTGCGTTGGATTAAAAGAAAGAAAAAGCTGAGGATACGTAGTAGAAAATACATAATACTTAAAAATCTATACAGAAAAAGTGTACAACACATAGAAAGGACAGTAAACCTGTTTATTCATCATCTAATTCTATGGAAGGAAACAGTTGGTTTTTTTGAAGCAGAGATTTCATGTTGTTCGGGGCAACATGACATTTTTTGTCACTTCTTTTTCATGTTAAAATTGCAAAATGATTAATTTCTCACACACACACACACACGCGTGTGTCGATGGCGTCCCTCAGGAATCCGTAACTGACCACGCAGCTTTGAGAGAGAGAGGAGCGCTAGCTCGCCCAACTCGCCCTCTGCACTCTCTCTCTCTGCTCGTGTGTGTGTGTCTTTGTGCGTGTCACTCCTGATGTTAGTGTGCTGCTCTGACAACCTCCTCTCTCCTGGTTTCAGGCTCTCCTCCAGATGTTGGACGGTGCTCCGGTTCCTCCCAGCTGTGTCCGGCTGTCAAATAGATCTTTTTTTCTGCACAAAAAACAGGCAGCAAAGAAAATGAATTTTCTGCAAATAACAAACAGAACTGGTACCAAGACTTAAAAACAATAAAATAATTCTCCTTGGTGGAATCATATTTTGTATTATTCCCCTTTTTAGGGGACGTTTCTTTTAGCGTTTACAGCGTGAATAAAGTCATCGACCAGAACGCCCAGTGCAGGAGATTATTCATTTATTATTGTTATTATTCCAAAAACACTGATGCAAAATTGTAAAGTTTATTACTCTTTTTAACCTTGACGAAGTCAGCGTATACCAACTTAAATTCATGTCTTTTCACAATAAAAGGCCTGGACAGCAGCCGAGTATTTCCCATGTATGTGTCTTTTATTCGTTTATTTAGACGACGGTCTTTTGTTTTCTTTTTCCCATTTACATGACTTGAATAATCTCTTCAATTCCTTCACATAGTTTGAGTAGAATAACTGAGATTTATTGAAGGAAGCGACTCCATGTGAATGCGTCTCATCTTCTGCTTTTAGCGATAAGTGAGCTTTTTGTTCTAAAACTTCAGGATGTGAACTCGTCACATTCCACATTACAACAATAATACACTATTGGAGGCCGACATTATTTGTCTTTGCTTCCTGTTTTTTTAAATTCCGGTTCAAATTATTCTTATCGCCGAGTCCGTTAAATATGCAAAAGTTTGAAGTCCACCCGGTCGGGGTCAAAGGTCATGTGCGTGCTTGCGGTTTAGGATTGCGGTGGATTCATGCGTTTCCTAGTGCTCTTCTGCCCTCTAGTGGCCCCCGAGAGGAAGTGACTGCAGGAAATACTAATCAGTGAAACAAGAAATGTTTCTGCTCTTTCAGCTCTTTTGATTTACTTTTATTGCTTCTTGCATGTTTGTCTTAAAAGTCTAATTTCTTACTTAAAGGTTTTCAATCTTTTCAGGTTTCTTCTTTCAGTGTGTGTTTTTTGAGTTGTAGAAAGCAAAACTAAATAAAAATTCTACCTCTTTAAATCTCTAACATTAGTTCCACAAAAATAACCTTCTGTCCGTGCACGGACCTGTGCACAGTGTGTGTGTGTGTGTGTGTGTGTTTGAGCGCTCCCGTCATCTCCTGTCAGAGTTCAAGGTCGCCGAGCGGCGGCTATTTCCAGCTCGTCTTCACTCTGATGCGTGTCGCAAAATGACAAGGTAACGCAACTCGGGGGGTCGGCTGTGTTACAGGATCCCGAGAGAGGAAACCAATGCTGCCTGACAGTGTCTTCAGGATACTCCGACCTGACTGGACCATGACAACTGACACACACACACACACACACACACACAACAAAGTTGATGGATAAACACTGGAGCTCACACAAACAAACACTCGTACTACACACAAACACAAGCAGCTGCCTCTCTGTCGGCCCCGGTTAGTCCAGAGGGACGAGTTCATCCACACAACGCTTCTCAAAAGTCGGTACAGATCGACGCGTCGCACAACCTCCGAGGTCCAGGAGGTCCAAAGCGTCAACGGGTGTGAGGTGGAATAGTGCAGAGCGACGGCAGGAGGGCTGAAGGGTGGAAGGTCCACGGTTCAGCGCCGCTCTCTCAGAAGGATTCAAGCTGCAGGTGTTAGAAACGGTTTGAGATCCCAAGGTCTAAAACGAGATACCGAGACGATGAGAAGCATGTGGCTGAACAACTGGAGGGCCGCAAACTGCTGTCTGAGGTTGTGGGTTCAAGCCGCCTCGTGCTTTGAAAGAGTTCTGAGGTTTGAGGAGGTTTTACATCTGAAGGTTAAATATGAGAAAGGAACACATGACGAGTGTGTGTGGTGAAGTAGCTCAGCAGAAGAGCTGCTGACCCTTTACCTGGAGGTTGTTGGTTCAAACCCAGCTATTGAGTCTTTGGATTCAAAAGACTTTTGAGGTTTAACTCACATTCTCAAGGTTAAATAGGAGAAATAAAGGCTGTGAAGTGCGAGCAGGACTGGTGGCGTAGTGCTGAGTGCAGGGACCAAAACCTCTGTAACTGCTAGTGGGTTCAATTCCCGCCGCCGCCAGGTCTTGAGAGCGCTGCCGTGGAGGTAGTAGTGGGGGCGTTGTCCCCACTGGTTGTTCCAGAGAAGTGGACCCAGGGGGTTATGCAGAAACACGAGGACATGTGACCAGAGTTTAGGTGGCGTTGTCCAGAAACCTTTAATGATGAGACTAACTTCTCCTTTAATGAGCTTCAGTGTCCATATTGTAGCCTTTTGCCATCGCTTTATACTATGTACTTATTTCATGTTACTATTCCATCTTATGTACTTCTCCCTATGATTATATATATTTATTATGACCTGTTCTGAGGGGAGACGGCCGGATAAATCAGTAAAAATGACCACATGCGTCTCATTCAGTGGTCAACGCTAATATGAAACTTCCTCTGAGGGGACGTTTACATTGTTTGAGACTGACCAATTCTCTGTTGGGTTCAAACTCAAGTCACTTTCCCATTTGGTGCGAAAGGTGATTATTGTGACAATGATCTGGTTGTAAAGCTCAGAGATCCGTCCCTTCTGAGTGAAGAGTGCGTAATGCAGGAAGAAAGGATGAAACCTCCAAGATGCATCAATCCGTCTTATTATTCATGATATCTTATGAATGTTGCCCAATAACAACAAATGATTTAGGAAGAGCCGGACCGCCCACGTCCCTTGATGAAGTTTAAAGTCATCGTAATAATAGAAAGGGGAAAAGGACTTTGGCCAGAATATCAGTAAGAATCTAAACAAGTACAGAAATGTGGGGAATACATGAACTGCCAGGTGGTGACGGGGACAGGTAGCTTCATTCACGTCAGGTCAAAAATGTAAATTTATTTTTGAAAACACACAAAATACGTCATGGAGAAAATAAATGGTGTCACTGTCAAAATCCGAGGGCGCAAATTGGGTTACCGCGCGCGCGTAAATCAAAAGCCTAGTTTATGCTTCTGCGTTTTCAGAGCGACGCAGACGCAAGACCCCCTGGCGTGTCCCTGCGTGTCCCTGCGTGTGTCGACCCATTTGTCTAGCGACGCAGCCTCCCGCAGCGCACCAGGCTCGCCGCAACGGTCGAGAGGCGCACACAGTTGTGGAGGAAAATACGGGACAAATGTGTCCGCGATGAAAAGCAGCAGTGTGGATGCACGGGGCAATAAAGTCTATGATAAATAAACAAACAAATAAATAAATAGACGTGACTCGCTAGGTCGTCCTCAACAAAACGCGTCTCTCCGCCTGTTGTTCTGGCGGTGAATCGCTCTGCAACACGCGCAAGACTTTTAGAACCAGGAAGTGAAACCAGTGCGTCGACGCAGAAGCAGAGGCACGCGCATGCGCCGGCCGTCACACTGTATCAAACGCTTTTGACAGTAAGGGGGCGGAGCCAGCCACCGGGATCTGTACATCTGATTGGTTACAAACCCCGTCTTTGGATTGGCTGGAGTGATGCATTCACACAACTATAGAAGCCTGTTTTTGCGCTACAGAAAGTCGAAATGATGATAAAAGGCTGTGAAAACACAAACGACACCGACAACCAGCTACAACCATCATCTACCAGCATCACCGGCGCTTTGGCCGCACATTGAGACCGATGCGTCCGGCTCGCAGGTCGGTCCGTTCGGGTGACTTCAGGATTCGATCTATTCAACCGCCGAGTCTGAACCTGTGAATATCTTGCCAACTGTACCGAACTTTAAAGCAGCCAGCGCTTATCCTATATCGATCCGTATTGAAAGTTGACAAGATATTCACAGACTTCATTTGACCAATACGGACCGCTTTGATTTATGGTTAAATATGACTCGGAAGACACGAAGACGATTTAGACTCCGATGTCTCTACGGCAAGTAGCGGTCACGGCCCCAGAAACCGCTCAGGACGGATAGAAACCAAACATCTTATCGGGCTTAATTAGACCACAATGGACGCCGCGACAAGTGTTCATGTTTGTTTGTAAGTGGTTTTGTTGTTGTTTTCGCCATTCAGCCCCCGTTCGACATCATAACTCACCAGCCAGTCTCGTTTTTAGCCATCCAACGTTTTTATGGAGCAGCTACACAAACAGTCGGCCATCTTGGACGCGTCATCTGTGACGCCCGTCAACCTGCGCTAAATAGTGACGTCATTACACCACGAGGGGCCCATCTGGGAAATACTGTCATGCATAATGTAATGTTTGCACTTCAATCTTGTCAATTGATATTTAAAAGTTTAATAGATTAATTATATCCTCCATCACATTCATATAATATTGATATTCCAATATAATATTGATATAATAATTTGAGCTAATAATTAGCTTCGCTGTTGCTAGCCTATACCTTATGCTTCATGCCTTTACTGCAGACATAAGTAAAGCAATTCTTTTTTAAAGAAATAAAATGGCATCCGCTGAGACAGCAGTTCGTTCTCAAAGCCCCGGCGTTGGCGTCGTGCTTTTGCAAAGCGCAGACAATGTTGTCACACAAACGACTTGACAACTGACGACTGGGCGAGAAAGATATTCAACAGCTCGACATTGGCCTCCTCAGAAGCCACGTGAAGACATGTCCGTGCACTTTTTAGTGAGCGAGAGTGACCTCTAATGCACATCCGTCTATGTTTAAGCATGATCTTTACCACAAATATACCCTACAAATAACCATGCACCATAGATACCTTTAATACTTGCAAGCTTAGGTGACTTCCTCGTCAACATTTCTCTTTAGACATACATTATTCAGCAGGCTTCACTATGATCATTTTTATGTTTTCTTGACAGTACTCACTGGTATTTGCCCTCGACTGAACAGTTAAATCTCCCCTGAAGGTTGAGAAAATGTCCTTTCTCAGCACACAGGTGCAAAATCACCAAAGGTGACTGCATTTGATTAGCTTCACTGTACATATTGTAACCTTCAACTTTTTTTCCCACATTTTGCTCCGCTGTCAAAAGGACAGACACAGGAAAACATTCCTGCCAACGGCAATAAGACTTTACAACAGAACACAACAAAAAACCTCTGGCTAAATCCTTGTTTACTTGAACTTGAACTACAACACTGTCTTAACTTAATTTTCAAATTTAATTAAATACATATTCCACCATACATCCTCCTTTCACTTAACTCATTGTTTGCTCTGCTATTCTATTTTATTTTATTTACTGTGTATATATTGTGCATTTGTCATTCTCACTTTATTTACTGTACTGCTGCTATTGCACACAAATCTCCCCTTGGGGATTAATAAAGTTTATATATCTGTGACATTTATACTTTTTGACCCTATTCTACGGTGGCCCTGAAGTGCGAAACACAACGGCAAATAGGAAAACACAACGACATTAACCTCTTGCGGAAAGGGTAGGGCCTTATAGCAGAGGACGGACCCTTCTGATTGGACAGGGGGACTGTCTGTCTTTTAACAGGAAATGATAGAGGACGTGAAGTGTCACGCATTGAGCGAGACACACATTCAACTCCTCACGCCAAGGAATCGGCCGTGTCGGCCATAGTGTGCGCGGCACCCATTTCTCAGCTTTCAGAATCCGTTTGTGCAAATAGTGAAGGAGTCACGGTCATTTCAATCCTTCATGTCACCTTCCGTCGCCGGCGAAAGGCTTCGGATTAAGAGGGTTAAAAGACAGTCCGTCTGTCCAATCAGAAGGGTCCGTCCTCTGCTTCCTGCTATAAGGCCCTACCCTTTCCGTAAGAAGTTAATGTCCTTGTGTTTTCCTATTTGCCGTTGTGTTTAGCATTTCAGGGCCACCGTACTATTCCCTTCTATGACCCTTTTTCAAAATATTTATCTCACCATACATATTTTGGACTTTTGTTTTCAAAACATTTATTTTAACATTTTTTTGTTCTTAATCTTGGGTTATTTACCTAAAGAAAGCTGAAAAATGCTTTCCCAGGATTTTATGAATGGTCTATGTAATACCGTGTCAACCACAAGATGGCACCAAACTCCAACTTTCAAATTGCATCAGTGGCAGCTTATTAATCATAAAAGACAAGACAGAGTCATATTATATTACATTACATGTTGTTTAGCTGACGCTTTTATCCAAAGGGATTTCAGATGGGCCAGTTCGGTAAATATTGTAGTCCGGTTTTAAGTCAAGCAGCAGGTTCTAACTGAACAATAATTTGAGACATTTAACCAGGACGTCTTCATCTCCTCCACAAGTCTGAGAGGCTTCAGGTGTCTTTCAGTCCACGTGGAGCACTTCATTTAAATCAGTCAAACCTTCATTCACACTTCATACAAATATAAAAAGAACATATTTACGTGTTGTTGCCGAGGCAAACGTCTCCGGGTTCACATGAACTGACGGGACCGAGGACTGCAGACGTACTACAGAGTAAAGTGGAACAGTTCTCTGGGTCCGATATCTTCTCACCGTATCGTAAAGGGACACCTGGGAGGGGACAGGAGGTTTGAGAAGGAGTTTGATACGAGCTTTAAGAGACAGAAATAACTGACATGTTAAGAGATCACATTTATCAGAGGAGCCCTGAAGAGCCCCCCTCCCTTTATATGGAGACCTGATTGGCTCACCTGAGTGCCTGCAGGAGCTCACATCAAAGATCAATAATCTGTCTCCAATAGTCCATGAATCCACAGTCAGGGTCCCGACCTTCGCAGTCAGCAACTAGAAGGACATGTGACACATCAAGGTTAAACTGAGGGACTGAGGGACCAGTCTAGAACATGGATCTCCTTCCTGACGTTCATCTTCAACTTCAGGACATTTCAGTGGAGACCTCAGCATCACATGACCAGACGTCAACCTTTGACCCCCCACTAGAACTACTAAAGATCATTATTCTAATAAGCTGTGCTCATAGTGACCCAGTTCGTCCCTCTAATGAATTACTAATACATTCGAGAAGAAAGAAAATACGTTTTAACAATTCACAAGTAGCTAGAAGACGTTTCAGTGAAACACAAGCGAATACGTTTCAGTATTCACCTGCCAGCAGGAGGAGCAGAGCACCTGTCTTCATGGTGGAGAAGAGGCAGGAACAGGTGGAGAGACTCTTCATGTAGAGACAGGAGAAACACTCTTTAGTCCCTCCATGCACACAGTGTGAGGGACAGTGTGGAGGATCCTGCTTCTCAAAAGGCTCCTTGTTGTCTCTAAAGCCACCACATGGAGCCTGAGTGGACTCCTTAGAGGGAAGCTCCTTCACCGAGTTAGTACGAGTACAAAAGGCTCCATGTGAGCTGTTAGATGAGGCCCAGGACGGGATGAGGAAACACAAAGTATTACTGGTGCTGAAGGGTTCCTGCTTTTTGGAGAGGAACACTCAAAGCTTCTGAGATCATACTGACTGGAGTTTACTCCACACGGGTGGAGCTAAACCACGGAACATTTGGTGCAGAATCAAGGAATTAAAAGATCCTAAATAATAACAGCGATGAGCATTTGGTCGATATGAAGTCGGGCAGAGAGGAAGAGGATGCAGCTGCTCTTACCTTGTGGAGGTCGGGTGGAGCAGCAGGGAGACGGAGCTCTGAAGATGGAGATCAGTGAAGTCTCTCAGGAAGATGTGCCTGCTGCGTCTCCGTCTCCGTCCTTTATACTGCTGCTTCTCTTCACACCCAGAAGACCGATGTAACCTTGACATCAGAGCAGAGACGTGGGGTTACGGAGGTAAACCTGGATTCTGTTGAACTGGTCCCTCAGCATTCTGTCCTGGTGGCCTTGGACCTGAGAGCCTCAGGTGATTTAGGTCTGTGACAAATGACCTGTCAGACACTGACAGGACGTGTTGTTATTCTCAAGGAGGAACTAATTCAGGTGAAATGTTTGAATGTGTGGTGATCAGAGTGTCGGTGTGATTGATCTTTGGCATCATCAGTCTGTCAATCAATCCTCCTCCACCAGATTCTTTCACACCGAGCTGCCTCTTTTCCTTTCAGGTGCTGTTAAGCAACGTGGTTAAAAGATTCCTTCCATTCTCTGCTACTGGAATGCTGAAGCAGCATTTCAACATATTTCCTCAAAGTTCACCTGATGATCACTTCCTCCTCCACTTGAATTCCCCTCATGATGAGCTGCTTCAATTATCCTGTCAACACGTCATTCCAACTCAAAGGGTTTGGAGCTCAAAGTGTCAGATGATCCCAGACTCGTTGTTCTCAGACTGTCAAACAGGTTTTGTTGTACCTCAACACACAGAGGCCTTCATGTACAAATATACTTTTGAAAAGCATAAATTTGTATTTAAAAGCAGTGGGAGGATTCATAAAGACCCTCACCACAGCCTGGCCTCCTCCACCTGCTCCACCTCTAGTGACTGTGGGGCCTTCTGGAGAAGAGGATGTCTTGATCATCAGAATTGTATTTATTGTCTTTAAATACACATTAACATGAATCCAACTGTGGTGGCGGGCTTGGTTTTGGCTCGTCTGCAGGGGGAGAGAGAGGGGGAGAGAGAGGGGGAGACAGAGGGGGAGTGGCTCACGGAAGGTGCCAGGTGGAGGCAATTGGCCTCAGCTGAGCTGATTGTATGATGATGCTTGTGTTGTTATTTTAAAGTGCAGAAAGGGCGATCGGGAGAGAGAGAGAGCGGCGGAACGGGCGAGCGAGACGCCGGGAGACCTCGCTGCCTTTTCACACACGAAAATAAAAAGGATTGTCAATCGAACCCCCGAGAACATACGCCGTGACACCAACATGTTGTAGCAACGGATACATTGATGGAGGAGACGTTGTCTTTCCCACAGCAGCTGTCAAGCTGGACACCGGTTCCCTCACAGCTCCTCTCATGCCGATACGACGTCACAGGCACCAGCCAATCAGATCCATTCATGCCGATACGACGTCACAGGCACCAGCCAATCAGATCCATTCATGCCGATACGACGTCACAGGCACCAGCCAATCAGATCCATTCATGCCGATACGACGTCACAGGCACCAGCCAATCAGATCCATTCATGCCGATACGACGTCACAGGCACCAGCCAATCAGATCCATTCATGCTGATACGACGTCACAGGCACCAGCCAATCAGATCCATTCATGCTGATACGACGTCACAGGCACCAGCCAATCAGATCCATTCATGCTGATACGACAGGTACATGAACCCAAAAGCACAACTTGGAAAGAGAAACGCAAGTTCTTTACTCGTCTTCAGGCAGGGTCAAAGCGGGAGACAGGACATGACTTAGGTATAAATAAATAGAAGCATGAATAAATACACAAATAAGTCAATAAAAGAATAAACATCAGTTGTTTAGCTCCACACACACTATGTTAATCTAAACTAGTCAGTTCACTGCTTTTTACATTTTCTTGCAGCACCAAGAACAGTTCAGCTGTTGTTTTCACCATTCAGCTCCCGGTCGATATCATAACTCACCTGTCAGTCGTTTTCTAGTCATCCATTGTCTTTACGGAGCAGGCACACCAAGTATTGGTGACTATTTTTGAATGAGATGGTTAGAAAAGGACATAAAACTTTAAAGGATTGTTAACAATATTCATATATTTAGATATATCAATATATATATATATTTGACAGACACATAGGAGCTTCAGGATGTTTGTGTACCACTTGGCGTTGGGAGCCAATCTCAGGTTGGCCACGGGTGGCAGTGTGACACAGTCTACATATGGGGGCACAGGTGCAATCAGTGCGGGTAATGAAGCAAGGTTTTTACCGCTTCCCGGATTCACAGCGAGATCACAAACTAAATATAGATGGAGTTGTGTTTTATGAAATATAGAACTAAAAAACGGGAACTTCACCCAAAGAAAACAAAAAGACTTGTAATCTCCGTGTGAGCCAGTGAGGAACAGGATCTTCTCCCCCACCCTGCCGAGGGGCTCAAGAAAATCTGTCACTACACATTATATTTAAAAAAATATTGATTTGAGTTGGAAATATCTTCCAAGATAACCAAATGGTGACTTCTTTTAATTAGCTTCACTGTTACTAGCCTATACCTTATGCTTTATGCCTTTACCGCAGGCATAAATAAAGCACTCTTTTTAAAAAGTGAAAGAAATCAAAGGTCCAAACTTAAATTGAAAAAATAATTTAGATAATGTTAAAAATTGTAGGGGAAAGTGGGGTGAGTTGTGCCAGTTTATAAGTGACTTTATAGTGAGGATTTGCATATATTTCAGGATGTGGTGCATCCCTGAGAACAATAACGTTGGATCTGAAAAAAAGTGTTTCAGAAATATACATTTTGGAAAAATGTTTTTAAAAACTAGCATGATTTGGCAGTTATGAGCTAACATCGTGCTAACTCTAAAGACTAATTGTGTGAAATGTGTTCAAACTTTTCTATAATTGTTTAGACACTACAATAAAAAAAAACATAATCATAGAAATTTTACTTTTGAAGGAGAAACATCTTGTTTAAATGGCAACAAAAGAAATGCGTTTATTGAGTCGCTTTGGATAAAAGCGTCAGCTAAATAACAATGACAATATAATAATGTAATTTAAATTAAATGTCTCCCTATTAGTTTAATTCCAACATATATCTTCCAGCAAAATGTCATCCTTTTTTTGTAATCTACATCAACCTTTTTTTGTTCTAATATTTTCTTATTTTTTAGACTATCAAATATTTTTTGACTTCTGTCAAAGTGTTTTTTGTCCGATTATTGGTAATTTACCTGGAGAAAGAATAAACTGCCTTTCCAGAATTTTGTGAAAGATGTAACATTATCAAACACAAGATGGCAGCAAACTCCAACGGGGGGGGGGGTTTGCATTGTAGCTTCCCTTGTCTTTTTCTCACAGTGAAGGAGGATGTGTGACATCTGGAAGCGCTGGACCCCCCCGCCCCGCCCCCGCCCCGCCCCCGCCCCGCCTCCATGTAGTTTCTCAGGGCTGAAACATCAAAGGAAGAGGCAGAGAATGTTGAGTGTGTTCCGGAGACTGATGATGACGACGTGGCTCTTCATGCCGAGACTTTCTCACGGCTCCGAGGGAGCAGAATGAAAAGGCAGCGCAGCACACCTGCGTCTCCTCTGTGCTCCTCTACTTACTGGACATGATGCTCACTGGCGTCACTCACATGCAGAGGTCATGACCCCGGGGCTGGATGAGAGGGAGAGGAGGACAGCCCCCCGTCCTCCATTAGAACATGCTGGGTAGTTGTTACAATGCCATGAATACCATAAACAGTTTGGGGATATGTGAACGTGTCACATCCTGTACTTGTCCTCCCGGTGCATTAACGTAAAAACATTAAAGCAGGGTCTGTTGTCTCCCTTTCTAAACCTTGTGACGTGTCTATGACGCGGCTGGGAGCAGCGGAACGCTCCCCCCTCTCTTCTGCTCCTGTTGCGCATTCTGCGCAGGAACTCCGCACTTCACCGACGAGCGCCCCGCACATTAAAAACCCTCCAGCCATCGCACAGGAGAGAGGGGGGCGGGGGGGGGGGGGCAGATTCTCCAAACTCTCGATGGGACCCGACGACTGAAGCCGGCTGCTTCCTCTCCACCAGACATGGACTGCTGCGCATTTGGCCCGTTCGCCGCGTATTTACGCATCGCGGTGCTCTGGATCGTGCAATTAGGAGCGTTTGCGCAACAAGGTGAGTGGAACGAAAACGTTTTGCATGGCTCAAACGATGTCCTTAAATAAACTCCCTTTTTATTTCCAAACGGTTCATCTGCCATGAAGAGACCAAACTACTTTTCATCTGTAGATCAGCTGCATGAAATCATCAGATGTTCAAAGCAGCCCGTAGTGTCCGTCTAAAAACGTAACTTCATTTATGGAGCAAGACACTAAACGTTTGTAAAAGTTCCTTAACCTATTTTGTGCTCATGACCAGGGAGGCTTCTGGAGTCGATTTGTAAATTCAACAGAAATTGTTAAAAGGAAAGATGACGTTTTAATTTTCTTTATTATTAATTATTAACCACCACACCGATCTTGGTTAATCAAGGGCTACTAAAGACAAAGTGCAGTAGAAACGACATGAGAAGACCTTTATTTGACGAGAACATAAAGCTGCCTTCTCGATCAGTAAACACGTCCCCCTGTCCTCCATCTGGCACATGTCTTCGTCCCATCAACGCGCAGAGCTCGTAAACTCCGAGGGAGGCCGCTCGTAAAATCCACATGGTGGAGCTTCGCTGCAACAACACCAGACATTTGAGATCCAAAGTGAAGTTTAATGAACTTTCATGTACGTCAAACATGTCTCGCGTTGAGCGGTTTGCTGGGATCTACGTCTAAAAACCTTCCAGACCCTCCAAACTGCAGGCGAGTGTCGTCCTCCCTGCTTTGATCATTAATGAATTCATTAATAAAGGCTGGCCTGTAACACTTTGTTTGGGTCGGGGGTCCAGCAGCAATAACTCTGCTTTGGGGGTCTCCAAACACACGACAAGTCCCACGTCAACCCCCCAGGGCTTACTGAGGCGCGGTCCTCACAGGGACGTCTGTTGTTCTTAACGATGTAGCGGACCCCCGGGGGGGAAGTGGTCCTTCCTGCTCGTCTCCTCGATGCGACTGACAGGAAACATTGTCATGAATGTTTGAGTCTGTTCCCGTCACTGTGACCTCATGTTGAAGGGTTCAGAAGATCTTTGGAGACGTTTGTGTCTTTTTGTGGTTTTATTCCCTCTCCTTTTGCTACTTTAGTGACTGCACACAGCGGGGGGCAGATACAACATTAAGACTTAACAAGTCACTTTTACTTTAGTGCAACCCAGCTTTATTATTATAAATAATACAGTGAGTTCAACATTGAACTATTTTAACACTAATTCCCCCTCGTCCGCTCTCCTCACATCTCAGCCGCCGAGTGTTACCCGGGGGGCCATCGGACCTTGCGTAACCCCTATCGCAGCGTGGCCTTTGACTCCACGGAGATCCAGGACACGGCCATCCAGGACCTGATCTGTGACCACTCGCTCCCCGCAGGCTGGTACCGGTTCAGGATCAACAACCAGCCGGCCGAGATGCCCACCACCTGCGTTGAGGTAAGGCGGCAAAAATGTCAGGTGAGCTCTGTCATCTCCCTCCCGTGTGTGACCCCCTCCTTCCTGCACAAACATCCCCCAGCAGGTGGCTTTAATGAGCACCTCCAGCTCAGGCGGAGGGTTTAATGACCCCCTCGCTGCAGGTAATGAGTGTTTGTTTCCATTCGACGCCCCCAACGCAGATGAACCACTGTGGAACACAAGCCCCGGTGTGGCTCTCTCTGAAGGACGCCCCCCTGCCGAGGCCCGGCGAGGTCCGCCAGCTGTCCGCCTGCGCCACCTGGCAGTTCTTCCACGGCAGCACCAAGGACTGCTGCCTCTTCCGCATCCCCATCGCGGTGAGGAACTGCGGCGAGTTCCTGGTCTACCGGCTGCAGCCCACTCAGGGCTGCATGGGATACTGCGCTAAAGGTGAACATGCTGCAAAGGTCCGACCCCCCACCCTAGGAGAGTCGCCTCTTTTCAAAGATAAACAAATTAATAACAAATAACGATTGACTGGCAGATGTTTGTGCACCTTATCAATGAGAATGAAGTCAACCTGATCTGATGTTTCAGTTACTCCAGATGTGGGACTCAGACCCTGCCCCCCAGGTGAGGTAGAAGTCAACGGCCGATGCAAAGGTGAGACAGCCTGAGAGCGTTGCACACACTGTTGTTAATCCATGGAGAATTTTGCATTTGAATCCTCATCAGGGTTGTTTTGGGTCTTTTCAGCCGCCGTCCCGTCCCTGCCGTCCAGGCCCCTCATCATCCCGGAGCTCATCGGCCACAGTGTCCACCTGAGGTGCTCCTTTGTCCCGCCGCCCTGGAGCCAGCCTCTGGGCTTCCAGGTGGTCTGGGCCAGGTACATTGGCCACAGCATGAAGGCCGAGATCAGGCAGGAATCCACGCTAAAGCCCTTCTCTCTGGTGGAGATGGACGGCGTCCACTTCAGGCTCGGAGAGACGGTAATACCTGCCAGACTGCGCTGAGGGTTTGGGGAGCATGTGTGTGTGTGTGTGTGAGAGAGAGTTCAACCCCTGCAGAGCCGGGAACTTAAGCAGTGGATCATGCTGACCTGGGCTCAGCCTGAAGCAGATGGGTCACATGCAGTTGGGAGCGTTGTGCGTGATAATTGTTCTAATTGAACGCCTGGTGCACGGCCTCTGAAGCCAGTGACGGATCTCATTTCCTGGAGGTATATGAGCGTACCCTCGTCCAGCTGTGTTGGGAACGTGCTGCAGAGGCCTGGGCTGGTCCAGCCGGCCTTTCTTTAACACATGTTGATGTCACAGCTGAGCTTGGTCAAAGGTCATCTTCAGTGATCTTTTTGATCCTTGCGAGTGAGCTAAATGTTTGTGGCGTTGCTTTTATCTCCAACTTCTCCTGTTATCTCATGGATTAACCGTGACGTCTTTCTTGCAGTTCTCCTGTAGCGTGTCGACTTTTAGAGCCAACTCCAGCCACACCAGATCTCCTCCGAAAGAGAGCGAGGGTTTCTACGCCGGACTGAAGGTGAACATCCTCGTGTTGAGTCTTCACCAGTTCGGACAGGTCAACTCACCATTATTTATTATTTCCCCTCAGTTCTCCCCCGACTCGCTGCACATAGCCGAGGACAGCAAAGAGCGCGAGGTGACCGTGCACAGCACGGTGCCCATCCCCTGCCACGGCACCGGCCACGCTCGCCACTGTGGAGTCCTTCTGGTGCTGAGCGTCCAAGACCCAGGTCAGAGCCGCAGGAGAAACATCTAGTTCGGCGCTCACGTTGGCCTCAGGATGAGCCTTATTCCTACACTTATGAGTACATTGCTGCCATGGATCCGGCAAATGTAAAATCGTCTCTCTGCTCCGTCTCGCGCCGTACACCCTCACACGAAAGCCCGCTCAGAGCGGCGTGTTGACAGCCGTGTCCCGGTAACGCTGAATCCCGCCCACAGACGGCCTCGAACACGAGGCCCCAAATGTGGCCCTGTCGACCTGCCATGTGGAGCTCCGGCCCGGCGCCTGCGGCGAAGGCGGCTGTGGCCGGGCGGAGGTCTTGGTCACCGCCGTCACAGACTTCACGCAGGACGGGAACCGCCACAGTCTGATCGGGGTTCTGCCCGGACCAGGCGCACCACGGCTCTGGAGAACCTACGTCCCGATGTCTCTGAGAGTGAGTTGACAATGAGGAGTCAAAATGTAATTATCATCTAGATCATCTAGAAAATTCAATTTGGAGACATGCAACGTGTAGGAAAAGCTCCCGCGTGGCTCTTACGGTGCTGTGGTATACAAATGGCTCCTTGAGGACGCCCGAGGCATCTCTGAGGAGGTTCCAGTGGTGGAGGGTTTTTTTTTCCATCTGTGTTTGTTGTGTTGGGTGAAAACATCAAAGGGCGACGCGCGCCCCACCTCCCCCCCCGCCATCATCTTTGTTCTCCTTACCTCCGCCCCCAGATCATGGTCCAGGACGTTCCAACTTCCATCTGCTACTCTCTGACCGACCCACATGTCATCACCCTGGACGGCAGGTAACTCACCTCTGGAATTGGCTGTCCGCTCGTTTCAAGTGAAACATCTGGATTGTCTTTCTGCGCAGGCGATACGAAAACCACCAAACCGGCACCTTCGTGCTCTACCGGAGCCTCGCCAGGGACTTCCTGGTTCACTCTCGCCAGTGGGACTGCGGCAGCCGGCACTACGCCGTCACCTGCTCCTGCGGTGTGGCGGTGCGTGAAGGGAACGACGTGGCAATCTTTGACATGTGCAACGGGCGCCCGCAGGAGAGCAGGCCTCGGCTCACCCTGAGGAACCTGGGCGAGGGAGAGGTCGGCAGCCGGGTCAAGGTGCTAGAGTCCCACCAGGGGAACAAGGTCACCGTAGGTATCCTGACATTTTGACACTGCTGCAGGCTTGTTTGTCAAATCACTCTCTCAGCCACATGATGGATTTTAACTCTTATTACGACATTCTTATAAATCTGATCTTTGGGTTTAAATGTTTGCTTCTTTTCCTGCATGAGGAGCTTCCGTTAATGTGCGTCTTCCTTCTCTTAGTTGATCTTTCCCTCTGGGGCCTTCGTTAGGGCCGATGTCGGCGATTGGGGGATGAGCCTCTCCGTACGCGCGCCCAGCGTCGACTACGGCAACACGCGAGGTCTCTGCGGAACCTTTGACCGCAATGCCAGCAACGAATTCCACGGCTCCGACGGGGGCTCCTACGGCCCCGAGGACTTGCACCGCTTCATAGAGGCCTGGAGGTCAGTCCAGCACCAACACAAGCGACTGTTACGGGCGGAGCTTTAGCTTTGGTGAAAGGGTAGATTCTACACAGAGCTTTTGTTGTCTCATCGGTTTTGCTGTCCAATGTCATGCAACAACAATAAATGTTCCTGATTCTTTCTGTTAGGATTGCTCCCGGGGAGAGTTTGTTTGACAGGACGTTTTCCGGGGCGCCTCCAGAGGTCAGGAGGCCCTTCTGTCAGTGCCGGCAGGGATACAGCGCCTCTCACCACACCAGCACAGGGATGAGGAACTTGTACAATCCGTCCGCTCACTCAGACTGCGTGGCACGCGATGACGTGGATTACACCTCCGTGTTTCCTTCCATGGACACAACAGCGGAACACACGGAAAGTCCGGCAAGAAAGGAGAGCATCCTGGATGTGTCCGCCTTCAACGCCCGTCCCCTACAGCAGTTTCACACCGACAATCCCAACGGAGACGCTGACCTGGACGCCAAGCTCAGGGAGGATCTCTTGCTCTCTGCTGGCAGGCCGAGGCGAGCAGCCTCCTTTGAGTTCCAGCCCGTCTTGGCCGCTCGGGGCCTCAGCCGGGCGGATCTAGAAAGCTTTGCCTACTTCTTCCCCGAGGACCACCCGGCGGAAGCCCGACCCGAGGTGCGGCCTCAGTGGCCCACGCCAAGTGGCATGACCTCGGCCAAAGCTCTCCAGGTGTGCCGGGCGGCGTTGGCCGACTCCACTGTCGGTGCGGTGTGCCGGGGGCTGCTGGGACGCCGCCTGGAGGAGGCGGTGGACCTCTGCATGCTGGACTTGCAGCTCAAAGATGACCTGGGTTGGGAGGAGGCACTGCTGCCCCACCTGGAGAACGAGTGCGAGAGGAGGCTGTTGGAGAACCGAACCCATAGAGCCCTGGAATTGGCCGCCCCCCTGGGAAAGACCGGGGAGGTGGTGAGAGCGTTGCGCTGCCCCAACTTCTGCAACAGCAACGGAGAGTGCACGGAGGGGGGGTGCCAGTGCTATCCCACCCACAGCTTCTACGACTGCAGCCTGGCCATCAGTGAGTATCAGGTTATGTCTGTGGGGAGCGTATGTCCTCTCAATCATCGATCAATAACCCCTCCCCTACGACAGGCCAGCCGGCCGAGCTCACCGATCTGGAGAACGGCGGATTGTGCGACATCCGAGCCTTCAGCTGCCGCAGCGTCCGAGTCTTTGGCCTCGGCTTCGTCGACACTCCCGACCTCAGCTGCCACGCCAACAGACTGAAGGTGAGGGGGAGAGGCGAGTTCAAACGGGTCTGCTTCGCCCAAATAAAAACCTCTCTTCTCAGCCTCGTTCGATCTGCGTCCACAGCAAGTGAACGGAGTTTGGGTCGAGGGGGAGAAACAGAGGACCAAAGCCAATTTCCTGAGCTCCAGGGCTCTGGACTGTGCCGTGCCGTCTCTGAGCAACGCCGCCGTCAACACGGAGGACTTCCTGATGGTCGACAAACCGTACGCACGCTGGGAGATTCAGGTAACGCCTCCTGTTTGCTGCCTGTTTGTCTCCCCCCGCCAGCCCCCTCCCCGGTGTCAGCTCCTCTCTGTTTCCTATTGCAGGTCACAAACGACGGCTCCCAGCACAGCCAGGCCAAGGTATTGACCATCTACGATGGCGTGTGCCAGGTGTGCCAAGCGTCACGCTCAGGGCTCTGTAAGCTAAAGGTAACTTGCTCTTCACATTCACTGCGTGGATCTCCCTCCGAGCCGCCAGGAAAAATGTTCAGAACTAACAAATCGCCAGTCGGATCTTTCATCCGACTTGTTTAGGGGGGAAAGCAGTCTTTCAAAGGAATATCCGAGACAGGAAAAGTTTGTACCAGACTTTAGGAGACCGATGTGTTTACGTGCTCTGAATAATAAACCAGAGACAGCGTGGTTTCCCTTCCTCCAAACACGCAGCAGCCGGCTCACGGCCCAAAAAAAGTTGCAGAGGGGCTGCTGCTGCTGCTGGAGACAACTTGTACCTGGCATCTCCAGAGAAAAACCACAAAAGCAACAAAGTTCAAACCAAATAAACTGATGTCAGTGTTTTAAAAGATTGTAAATATGACCAGTCCTACCTTCTGTGTGTGGCTGCCAGGAGAGGACGTGTAACATCGACGGGATGTGTTTTGCAGAAGGAGTCTCCAGTCCGAGCAGCCCGTGCCTCCTCTGTGACCCGGAGACCTCCAAATTCAGCTGGTCCGTGAATCAAGGTACAAACGTCTTATTGAGCTTCTCATCACAAGTCAAAAAGAGATAAATCCTAGACTAGAGATAAATAACCTGGAGGCGAACGACATTGGCATATTTATGGACACACAGGTGTCCATAAATATGCCAATACTAGAACTAGGCTACTTTTATTATTTAATAGCGGTACATTTCATATTATTGTCATGTGATTGTCCTGTTTATGTGTATTCTTTGCCTGAGTTGAATAAGAACAACAGTGAGAATCTTATTGCTACACCATCAGACCCACTGATTCATACTAATGACAAACAACGGAAAGAACTGTATTTATCTTACGGTTACCGTTGTAACCGCCCAACTCTGTTCACAGTTTGTCCCCATTAGCAGTTCAAAGAAGCGAAGCATAAGGTTTCCCAGCATGCCCCCACCTGTCCTGTAAAAAGTTAGAGGTTTGGGGAGGGGGGGTGTAAATCACATGGTTGATCACCAAGGCTACACAGCCTGACTGAGCAAACCCATCAGCTGTATTATGATACTAATACCGCTCGGTCCAAGATCCAGCCTCCAGGATTTGGATTTATGTTGAATGCAGGTGGACTCATCTCACCATAATAACAAAGGCCATAATAATAATAAAGGCCCGCAATGTTCGCAATAATCTTATCATGTGACCGTTATGTTTTCTGTTTCTGAGGATCCGGTCTTCTAAACATCTGGAGGGAGTGATCTCAGGAGGTGGATGCTACAAGGCAGAAAGAGGAAATGGAAAGTTGTTTGTCTGTTTCTCCACATCCTCCTCCTTCTCTCCTCAGTCAACGAGCCGCCGGCCTTCCACCGGCCTCACGGCGACCTGCGCACATTCGCCGGGGAGAACTTCGTCTTCCAGTTGGCAGCGTCGGATCCCGAGGGCTCGGCTCTCCTCTTCCAGCTGGAGGAGGGGCCGAAGGGGGCCGTCCTCTCGCCTGCAGGCCTCCTCATCTGGAGGGTCCCGTCGCTGCACGAGACGGAGGGGCCTCAGACTTTTCGCTTCACGCTGTCAGACGAGTGCAACGCCCAGAGCACATTCGCTGTGGAGGTAGAGATGGAGAAGGAGAAACATGACATATTTATTTAACCTCTATTTAGCCAGGAGAGAATCCCCTTGCTCACGACTTTGTAACTATAGTTATTAGATACACTGACTGATTATTAGATACCTCAGCAGTGTCTCTTGTCCCCCTGTAGATCCAGGTGGTGAATTGTGGGTGTCAGCACGGAGGTACTTGTGTGACGGACGTCTCTTTCCCGGCCGGCAGTGGGAAGCACCTGTGCGTGTGTCCGGAGGGCCGGTGGGGCGACCTGTGCAACGAGCGTGCGGACCCGTGTCGTTCGGCGCCGTGCGAGGCCGGCACTTGCACGGACACCGGCAGAGGGTTCAGCTGTGATTGTCCTGCGGGGTTGCAAGGTGAGGCATAATTTTGTTTTTTATACGCATTGCACGTGTGCAGACAAATTAAAGGTCCATGCGGTGTGCCAGGTGTCACGTGCCGGGAGGATGTCGACGAGTGTGAAGGCGAGCCGTGTTTCCCGGGGGTCCGGTGCCTCAACAGTTTAGGCTCCTACCACTGCGGCTCGTGCCCAAAAGGCATGCTGGGAAATGGTTCGGTATGCACAGGTAAGCGTGAGCGAACAGAGAATGCCTCGCAGGCGTTTAACGGTACCTGCAAATGCTTAAGCTGTTGTGCAATCACTCTGGATCAGAGCACGGTGAAGATGTGATCAAGTACTCGTGATGGATGGAAACCAGATGGCTGCTTTGTCCGGATGAAGGTGATGGAAACGCTGCTTCCAGCTCAGCTGCCACACTCATGTGTGTGTGTGTGTATGTGTGTGTGTGTACATGCATGTTTATGGATGTCAACTCGTCTCTCGTAGTAGTGACATTTTGAAATGCTCTGGTTGCAAAGTGGGCTAAGAAAACCAAACTGGACTTGACTCAAGAAAAGTCTTGTGATGATGTAGCGTGTAATCTTAAACAAAAAATGTGTAGACGTTATTCCAGAGCATCGGGTAAAGTGTTTATGAGCAGTCGAAAATAACGGTGTTTGTCTTCGTACAGCAGTCACAACCACACCTAGTCCTCCTACAACCGCCTACCGGGCCCCAGATGTTCTGCTGAAACCTCCCGAAATAAAGGAGACCTCAGGTGGCAGCTCACCGCAGAGGAGGGCTGAGCCAGGGAAGACCGGCCCGAACCGGTCCCACACTAGGACCGGCCCGTGGATGAACCCAGCGCTCACAAAGGCAGAAACCTACTGGAGCATCACAGCAGGCACACCGATCGCTCCGCAAATGAAGATAGACGCTTCAGGAAGAAGCCCAGGAGTCAAAGTCAACCCGTCCACGACCAACACTGGCACTTTGAAGAACACCTCCGGGGTCAGCGACACTGCTGCAGGAAGTGGCAGACCAGCTTCAGGTACGGCCTCGTGCAATGTGTGACAGTTCAGCATGTTAGCGGTTTGGAGTGGACTCTCGCGATGCCCAGGAGGACCCGTTGACCGCAGTTTCTCGTCCCTCAGGGCCTGCTCTGGCTGTGAATGTGTCGGCTACGTGTGCCAGCAGGCCCTGCTTCCCCGGGGTCCAATGCATCAACCGCAGACCGCCGCATGTGGGGCACGTCTGCGCCCGATGTCCGCCTGGTCTCTACGGCAATGGACGGGTGTGCATGAAGAACGCCAAAGAAGGTGAGGTCCTTCAGGACTCGTTCAGCAGCAACAAACAGGCCTGCAGTCCTAAAAATAAAAGAATGCATGAATGCATGTCAACATATATGACTGAAACAGATCCAGATGAAAACATCTCTCAGTGATTTTCTCTGTTTCCCCAAGGATTTATGGGTTTTTCTTGGTTGGAAGGAATGTAATTTATTGCAGTAGATGAACAATTGGAAGTAGGTAGAGACCTTTTGGTGCTTTGATTCTCCGATTTCCTGAACCCTGCCGTCCTCTCCAGCGTCCAACCACCTTCCTCAGCAGTGGACCATCCGATCGCCGCACGGCAGCAGCAGCACCATCTCTCAGCTCCACCTGCCCAACTTGCCCAGCAGGCACGGCATCAAACATCTGTCCTGGGCCGTCACCAGAGCCAACCGGGACAACGCGCTGCACCCGGTTCTCCCTTCAGGGAGGGGTGGCGGGACGGGGAGGAGGGAGGTGGCCAGAGACGTCCCCAGAACCTCCATGGGTGCAAAGACCGCCACCATCCGCCTCAGCACCGAGCTCAGGGCGTACGGCGGAGCTACCGCCACCGTCTCCAGGCGTCCGGTGGTTCCCCGAGGGGGGGTCTCCAAGGTGAGTCAACCCCTTCTGCAACGTGTGTCGTCCTAAAGCGGCGTGAACGTCCCTTATTCTGTAATCATATCCCAGCAGTCTGAGCCAGCATTGGAGGTAACACCACCTGCTGCTCGCCTATCCACCCAGCCCAAGCACCACCTCCCAGCCTCCACCCACGGCATACCAAGGACCCCCCCGAAAACAGCCATTCCTCTCACCGCGGCCCTCGCCGCTTTGTCGTTCTCGCTGCCCGAGTTCTCCGCAGACGGAGACAGCGGCGAGGTGGGATTTGAAGAACCGGAGAGGGTCCCGCCGTTGACCTTCAGCCCCCCACTGCAAAGAGCCACCTCCCCCCAGGCAGCGGTGAGGAGCGGCACCACGGCGGACAAACGGGTAGTGACCTGCGCGGAGCGGCCATGTTTCCCCGGTGTCCCCTGTGAACCGGCTCCGGGCCGGGGTTACCGCTGTGGGCGGTGTCCCGTCGGGTACACTGGAGACGGACGAGCATGCAGAGGTACGCCTCCGTATCTCGTTCAATGATGGTCAAAAAAAAAAAAAACTCTAGGCTCAACATCTGTCTTTCTATCCAGCCGTTTGCAGGCATGTGTGCGGCAGGAACATGGAGTGTGCCGCGCCCAACACGTGCCGCTGCAAAACCGGCTACAGCGGATCCGACTGTCACACAGGTGCACAGAGGTTATTTCAGCGGTTTATGGGTTCTTACATCCATTACCTCATGTTCCTTACATTGTGTCACATGTCCTCAGCCATCTGTCAGCCGGACTGTGCTAACGGGGGGGTCTGCGTGGCTCCAGGTGTGTGTCGCTGCCCCACAGGGTTTCACGGAGAGACCTGTCAGGAAGGTAAAGCTCACCTTCTTTTAGACAAGGATCTTTCATTTTGTGTCGGCCCCTGGTGGGCCGAAGGGGTACTGCTTCCACCAGGGTCCCTTCAGGAAACAGTACTTTAATCCAGCTACAGACTAGTAAACATGTCTATTAACAGCCATGCATTTTACTGTAATATCACGGAGGAGGAGCCTCACTTTTATTTGTCGTGAAGCTTTATGGAGTGAGAACTACAGCCGTCACATGGTTGAGTTATAATAAATGACATAGCTGATTAAGATGCATGTCTGCAGCTCTGTGCAGGTCCCCATGTGAGAACGGGGGCTCCTGTGTTGGGCCGCAGACCTGTTCCTGTCCTTATGGGTTTGTGGGACCTCGATGTGAGACAAGTGAGTTTTTCTTTGCTCATAGAAGAACCAAAAGGGGTCTTTTTGTCCCCGTCAAGTGACGCGTCTCGTCTCCGTCCTAGTGGTGTGCAGCCGTCACTGTCACAACGGGGGCCGCTGCGCGTCTCCAGACGAGTGCGCGTGTCCGTCGGGCTGGAGCGGACCGTCCTGTGAGACAGGTGGGTGCGTGGACGTGAGTGCGTCTTATTGTTAGTGTCTGCGTGTCCTCACCTGCCCTTGTCGCCTCCCCCTCCTACTCTCCCAGCTCTCTGCTCTCCCGTGTGCCTCAACGGGGGGTCGTGCGCCCGGCCGGACGTCTGCGAGTGTCCTCGCGGGTTCTACGGCGTGCGGTGTCAGAGCGGTAGGACCGCAGCCCTTGACGAACAGGTCCTGGCGGGGGTTACTCTGAGAGGAGTTCTGATCCCGCACTTTTCCTCCTCTTCCTCCTCCAGGGGTCTGCAGCCCCCCCTGCAAGAACGGCGGCGTGTGCCTCCGGTCCAGCGCGTGCTCCTGTCTGCAGGGATACACCGGGAGGCGATGCCAGATCAGTGGGTGCTCTTCCTAATCGTCCGATCCGCGTCTTACTTGACCTCCTCCATCTCCCTGCGTCTCTTCTTGTGGACGAGCTGAACTCGCCCCCCCTGTGACGCTGTTCTCCCTCCCTCTCCCTGCAGGTGTGTGTGAGCCGCCGTGTGTGAACGGAGGCCGCTGCGTCGGCCCGGACGTGTGCGATTGTCCGTCGGGTTGGCGAGGAAAGAGTTGTGATAAACGTGAGGTTTTTTTGTTTTTACATTCACGCTCCTCCTCCAGGTCTAACTTGTTAGCTCCCGTTTGAGCACGAGGTTGACCGGAAGCTATCCAGCCACACATGAGTTCTACTCATAATGAAAACATGAGCAGCTGTAGTCACAGAAGGTTTGCGTCATACTATTTACAGAGTGATCGTTTTACTGTAAAACTCAAAGCAAAGAAGAGCGAGTCCAGTCTGCTGACAGACAGCTGACTGCAGGGCCGTCCTCGTTAGACACCCGCGCTGCGTGCGGCTTGTGTGACTCGCTCTAACGTGTCGAGGCCTCGTGTCGCTTCGCAGCCAGCTGCCTGCAGAAGTGCGCCAACGGGGGGGAGTGCGTGGGAGCCGGCGCCTGCCACTGCGCGCCGGGCTGGCACGGCATGCTGTGTCAGATCCGTGAGTGTCCTCCAGCGAAAAACATCCTCAGAGAACCCCGTCCTCCCCCCCTGTCTCGCTGACTGTGCGTTTGTGCTTTTGTCCCCCCCCCCAGCTGTCTGTGAGCAGACGTGTCCTCCAGGCGGCCGATGCGTCCGACCCAACGTCTGCGCCTGCCGGAGCGGCTCGCTCTGCTCCAGAAGGGTGAGAACAGGGGAGGCTTTTATTTTGGTATCAGGGACGATTCCGGCCCGCTATCGGCCTTTTTCCTTGTTGATTTTCCGTGCGTTTCTATTGCAGTTCCCTCTCGGCCAAAGATGAGACGCATTAGAAGCAAACAGAGTTAAACCAGCACCGATGGAACCGGCCGAGCAGAGGAAGATCTCTGTGCACTCGCCAAAAAAACTCAAAGCAGGGGGAAGCAGCTCATTTCACATCTCAACAGCATACAAACAAATATTTAGAAGCGGTTTTACGACTGCACTTACCTGTGGATGAACTGCTATGTAGTGGTTCTATCCTGTAATCTGCTTTCTTGAGATTACAAACACTTCGACTGACACAGATTTACAGATTGAGGCTAACCCCCCTACTTCCAGTCTTTGTGCTAAGCTAGGCTAGTGAGACCCTAACTACCCTAAACACTATACTTCTCATTTGACATAACATGAACATAAAGTTCAAGATAAAGTTAAACGTTGGGGACTATTTTTAAACGCATGTATGTAATGTATGAGTATTTATTTATTTGTTGCATATTCCTTGGTGTATTTTCTCCTTAAGGCACTGTTTATTGGGAGTTTTAAAAGGAAACAAATAAATATCCTTTTAAGGTTTTCATCTCTTCAGCTTTCCTTTCAGCTTAATTAACAATAATACGCTAGTTTTTTAGGGTTACGAAAAGTCCTGTGAAAAGTTGAGTCTGTCTGAGACTTAGAAATGAACATGATATTAAGATGTGACGATAAGACCTTTATTACCTTTTGTATGAGCTCCATCCAGCAGCACACTGAAAGGGTTTTTTAAGAGGCTCTTTCTTCAGGTGCTCCTTCTGGTTTCTGGACTTGGCAGCAGCAGAGAAACAATTGACGGCTCCAGAGTCCAGACAAGTTCCCAGGCAGCGGGTTGGAGAGGAAATGAGGATTAAAAGATTAAGGAGGCCGCACCAATTAGGGTTCCTCGTGAAGAGCCAGCGGAGGAGGTTTGTTAAGACCACAGCAGGAGCCCGCTGCCCCTGAGCTGCCCCTGATATTTGATGCCATCACTGTAATCCTGTGTGATTGTGAGGCCGGAATCTTCCAGCAGACATGTTATGTTTAAATACGTAAGTGACACACCAACGTGGGGAAAAACGATGGAAATAAGTGTAGTCGTGAATCTGATCACAGCATGAAAAGCTGCGTTTTTGCCGGCATGATGTATTATCTGCTCAGTTTGTTCATCCAAAGGGGTGACCTTTGACCCCGCCCGTTAGAAGCGATGAATAAGCTGTACTGCCCTCTGGTGGCAACACAACAAATATGAGAACATTGAGGAAACTGCACAATAAAGCAGGTAAATGTGAGAGAACATCAACACTTAAATTAGTAAGTGAGCGCTTTACTTTTACACAGCAAAGTAAAATCCACTTGGATGATGTCAGTGAACCTGGACCACGTGCGCGCACTCGCAGTGACGTCAGAGGAGAATTTGCGCTCTTTTTTACTTTCGGCGACACGAGCGGGGAACCCGGGAAGCAACGGCAGAGTTTAAGGACTTTAACCGGAGTACAGAGACATCCAGGTACGTTACACGGTTAGTTCACGCTGTACGTTACTGCTGAGGAGTCGGTGGAATGCGTCAGCGTATCGCGAGCCTGCTAGCTAATTCATTGATTAACTTACCGTGCTAGCTAGTTAGCATGCTAGCTTCTTAACATATTTAGCATGCTAGGTACATAGCGTGCTAGCTTGTTAGCGCAGTTAATTGAGCGTGGAATGAGGCGCGCTTCCTCTGCGACGTCCCGGGGAACACAGGTAACGTTATCTACGTTACGTTACGTTACATCCGTGCCGAGGAAGGTGTGCGGGGACCGGAAACACTCTGGTCACGTGCTGCATGGATCGCACGTGAGGGAATTATTGATACGTTTAATACATGGTACACGGTTGACTTATGAAATGATGAAATATTAGGTTTGGAATATGTCTTTGTAATAACATGTTAGTATTTATACATAAACGATTTAACCTTTTAAGTCTTTGTAGAAAATATCTGTAGGCTGTTGACCTCTTACTCGCATTGTTTGTGTTTATTTTGTAAGCCTTAAATTAAGACAATATTAAGTCAAATTAACTTGAGAGTAGAAGTATTGTTGCTTGTTTTCAAGTAAATATCTCCCGTTTTGTCATTGTGTTTAGATTTGACTCCTTGTCAATGATTCAAATGGAATAAACAACCTGCAAGCTTTAACAGCAACGCGCTCAATGCATCGTCCGTCCTCAGATATTTATATCCACCCCCAAAGATGGCCCTGGGCAGGGTGGGGGGGTCCATCATGGTGGGCACACTCTGGACAGAGAGTCTCCACCTGGACTCTTCACTCAGTGGCAGCAGAGTAAGCGTTCATCCTGGAGGTCGGGAGGCAACACACACACACACATTTGTGCACTGACTTCACTGGAATTATTTAAGAAACTCTGAAATAATCAGAGGTTTTACTGTAGTTCAATTGGCAGTACTTATGTGTACAAATACCCAAATGTTCCATTTAGTAATTTGAATATATGTGCATATACACGTGAATTTAGGTACTTTGTGTTTCTTTCCTGGTGTCAGAGAAGAACATTTTTAAATTGCAGTTTAACAAAGTAAAAATAAGTTTCTAAAATAGTTTGTTAAATTTCATTCAGATGAACATAGTTTCATTTTTCAAATGAGGACACAAAAATACTCTTGTGAATAGTGAAGGCAGGTCACTGATATTTTGGAAAGGAATTTGATCATTTTAACAGTATTTTATTTTGTGAATATTTCTGATGTGAAATTGGCTTTGAACGCAGCACCATATCAGAGGAGCCTAATTTAAACCTGTGTGCTCCAGACAACAACAGGTGCCCCCTCCTCCCTTTAGTCTCCACCTGTCTTCCCTTCTCCGCGGCGGGCTGCCGACCCAGAAGGCAGCCGTCATTTTTTAGCAGCGGTATGCCGACCCGCCGGGGGGCTGCGCGGCGCGAACCCCCTCGGTCACCGGATCGGCGGCAGCTGCTCGGCCCCCCGGAGCTATTTTCACCCTCAGGATAAGGTGAAGTTCAGCCGCCTGCCCTCACGGCCCCGGCTGCCCCAGTCCCACCACAGCAGAGCCAGGATGAGGTCCACAGGCAGCGAGCGCAGCACGCAGCCCGACGGCTTCGCCTCCGACCTGGACGACCTGGACAGCGACAGCTCCGACGGCGACTGCAGCCCCCGCGGGGAGCCGGCAGCGGGGGAGGCCGGAGGCGGCTCCCGGAGAGGCAGGCGCAGGAGGAGGCGGAGACGCGGCAGCGCAGGAGACGAGTGCGGCGCCGGTGCGAACAAACAGAGGCAGGCGGCCAACGCGCGGGAGCGTGGCAGGACGCACAGCGTGAACACGGCCTTCACGGCGCTCCGCACGCTCATCCCCACCGAGCCCGTGGACCGGAAGCTCTCCAAGATAGAGACGCTGCGCCTGGCCTCCAGCTACATCTCGCACCTAGCCAACGTGCTGCTGCTCGGGGAGGACTGCCGGGACGGACAGCCGTGTCTCTGCTACCGGAGCGTCCCGCACGGCGCCGCGGCGCTCAGCGCGCCCCCGCCGCGGCCCATCTGCACTTTCTGCCTCAGCAACCAGAGGAAACTGGTGAGCGGCCACTTGCTGTCCCGTGCGTAGTGCTGCATCTTTTCTCGCAGTGATGTGCAGGCGGCATCTTCTCTGTAGTGGAGGTCGTATCCAGGCGCCGCTTAGGTCAAAAGTAAAGGACCACTTTGGTTTGTTAAAGGTAAACATGACAGCAGGAAGAGGTTGTAGATTATGGAAAATAAATGTATATTAGAATTATCATTTAACAACAAAGATCATTTCCATCCTTTAAACACACGTGTGGATTAAAAGGGTTTATATACACAGAATGATAAAGTAACCTTGTTTTCACTGTTGTCTCATGAAGCCAAAGTCAAATCTTTGTTTTCTAGTTTTAAAGTATATCCTATAACACTAAGTTGTAAATGATATTAGTAGCTTGCATAATAAACAGATGACAAAGTTAAATAATCCTTCCATAACTGTAATTGTGAGCCGGGGTCGTGGTGCATTCACTGAACTGTGCTTGTGGTAAACATGACCGTCTCTTTGCCTCCACAGCTCAGAGATGGAGGGAAGCACTCGGCTGCTGTGTGAAGCGCCGCGGACGGCTGTTGTACATATATAAATATGTTTACTTTGGGAATAGAGAATTTAATTGACACTGAAGAGCACTTTGTTTATGGCGCTGTGTTTTGGTTGAGCTGCAACCGGAGCCCATGTGTAAACCTGGGGGGGGAGGGGAGGGCTATTTTGATCCCACAAACAGTACAAACTACCCCCACATCTCCTAAAAAATAAACCCACATGAAGGCGACTGAAGAGCAGCGGCTGCTGTCAGTTGAGAGGCACGAACGATGCCTTCAGGCGCCACAGGTGACTAGTGGGGAGGGAAGGTACTGCATCAACACACATCTATTGGATTCATTTACAAATGTCATTTTTGGGGATTTTAATGACTTATTGCTGCCTGGATGCAGAGGTGAAACTCACATCTGGACTAAACCAGATGCTTTTTAGCAATAAGAAAGTCTCAAAGGTTTTGCTGACTTAAACGTTTAAATACATTTGCAGTGTGGTTAATGTTTACTTTTGCATTGTTGCACAATCACTTTAAACACTGACAGTGTGCAAAGTTTGCCTTTTGCACCAGAGAATATTTGCATGTAATTCTTTAATCGGCAGCTCGAGATATTTAGTATACATACGGATGACAACGTTGCACACTACCTCAGCCAGATGTTTTAAAGCTAACGTGTAACCTGTAATGCCTGTATGAACATGTACTTGATTACAGGACTACTTTGTCCTTTGCACATCACAGGTATTGCGAAGAAGCTCTTCAAGAGAATGTATTTTTGTACAGTACAAATAAAAATGATAAATTCAGAGTTGTTTTGGTCATTCCTGCAAAGACAAACAAGAGTTTACTAAAACAGAATATGTGAAAATAGACAGTCAAGGCATTTGAATCATTTTTATTTTCATTAAAAAAAGTCAGTAGAAACCAATAAATGGCGAGGCGGTTTACAGGGGGTGTGGCTTAAGGTCAAGAAATTAGGCAAAGTTTAGGACCCGGCTGAAGCCAAAGCGTGAGCCGGGTCAAAAGGTCAAGAGGGGAGAAGAAAACTAACGTTTGATTCTTATGACGCGTCAGATTAAACAATGTTATGTATTCATCTCTTTCTGCTTCCACTGGGACGATTTACTAACCAGGACTTATTATTTAGTTGAATGTTTGGGAGGAAGAAGGAAAAGCACCTCCTGCTGCCATTGAAAGAAAGGAGCTCGCTGGAGGCTTCAGTCCGTCTCCTCTTCCTCCGACTCCGACTCTGCAGAGAACAGATCAATGCTTACGGCAACATTTGAGCATTTTTACTGGAAACGAGACGTTGTCTATGTCAGAAAATTACATTTTTTTATTGCTCGATTCTTCAAACACAGCAGCAGATCATCATATCTGAACTGTAACACTTAAAACATTTGATATTTCCGCAGAAAACAGAAAGCAGGTAGTTTGATTTACCAATTAATTTATTATTAATTATTACCAGATATCATTTGTCTTTTTTACCTTCCTCGGCGCTCTTAAGCCACTCCACAAACTTCTTCATCTGCTCGAGGAAGACGCTCTTCCCCTTGGTGACGTGAGCGTCGTTGTACCACTTCAGTATGGCCTCTTCGCTCAGGACGTCGGCTGTTGGGGGGAGGGAGGGGTGGGATGGAGGGGGGGACGTCACGGTCAACGCTGGAGTCAAAGGGCCTGCAGAAAAGCGGGGCGGCCGGCGTGGGACACGCACCTTTGTAGAGCAGCACCACGATCTTCTGGAAGGCCTTCATGAAGTGGATGTTGTCGTAGCAGTACTCCTGGATCTTCAGCAGCAGGCTGAGCTCGGAGAGACCCTGGGAGGTGAAGGCCTTCAGCAGGAGGCTGTATTGCTGCGGGGACGTGGAAGCATGTCAGAGAAAAGCACAGCGCCTTCTGCTCCGCCCGTCTCCCACAACTAAGTCTGATCCTCCATCAAACGCCAACGCTGATCTGAATACAAAACAATAAGCTGCACACGCGTTTGGTACATTTACAGGGTTTGCTCTTTGGACTCACATCTCTGGTCAAGTACGGTTGCTACGGTTACATCCATTAAATACAGCTATGGTTTACAGGATCAGCTGCATTTTTATTTTTACAAAACATAGCAAATTGTAAACAGATCAACTCAAACATTGTGAATGATCGTCAGGTACTATTTTACCTTCAAGAGTTTGATGGCTTGTTCGCACACCAGCTCCTCTTTCTTGTTCCACTCCACGGAGCTCATCACGCTGGTCCAGATGATGTTGATCATGGCCTGCTCCGAGAGGTTGGCCTTCTTCATCTCCTCTTTGGTGAAGGCAATGATCTGCACCGGGTTCAAGTTTGTGAAAGTCACCAAACATCTCAATCCAAGGGAAGGATGGAGACCGATTTAAAACCGCAGAGGGTCGCGGTGCAAAATGAAGCCGTGATGACGCCGCTGAATTAAAACCCCAAATAATGGTGATGAGTCAAACGCGTAATAAGTGGTTACCAAACACGATCACAGAACCAACGGTGCCTAGTCAAATCATTATTTACAGCAGCGATATTGTTTATTGTCAATATCTATTTGTCACGTGTTTCCAAGTCTGCCCCTTTCTGTACTTCCCGCCAGCGTTCCCCACATTTCCCTGCACGCGGTTTGCCGGAGGTTAGCGACCTCACCTCCTTCTGAGGGTCACCGCGGGCCATCTGCTCCTGCAGCTCCTTCTGCAGCTCCTTGCGGGCACCGATGGACTGCTGGTTGCGGGCGAAGTCGGACAGCTCCTTCAGCCCGGCGTCGGTGAAGTACTTGGAGAAATGCTCGCAGCTCCGCTTGTTGGCAGGAAAGAGCTCCTGTGGGGGCACGGCTCTTTTTAGGCGGGAGTTCAGGGAGGTGAAAGCGGCCCTGCCGTCGGACTAAAGGCAGCCGGCTCACCATCAGCCGGTTGTCCATGCCGACTTTGCGGAGGCTGCCGGCCACGGAGTTGATGTCCTTCTCGTGGATCCAGGACTTGAAGAGCTTGACAGCAAAGGCCGCAGACACTCCTGAGCAAAGAGGAGACACGGTCGACACAAAGCCAGCAGAAAGCCCTCGATGTGGAACCACCCGACTCTCCTCACCCTCTTTGACGAGGTTCTCGTTGTAGAGGCTGTTGAGGATGGAGGCTGATATGTTGCCGTTGGCCAGCAGGATGCCGGTGAGCATGGCCAGTTTGTTGCGCTCAGACTCGGTGAACCCTTTTAGAAACAGCAGCAACTAGAGGACAGAGAGACCAGTTAATCCCACATCGTTCACGCACACCGGGTGAAAAGACAAACCCTGTGTGCATGTAACCTACACGTGGGCCATAACGGCTTGATAGTTGCTGGTTTACTAACCGCCCAACAGCTCATCTCACAGTTGTGAGCTCACTCTAAAAACAACAGCTGATCACTGAGCAGTGAGACGCACCTTCTTGATTTCGTCTTCGAAACCCTTCTCCAGGTACTTGTAACGCCTGATCAGCTTGTTAAAAACCTTTTGTGTTGGGAGTAAGACACGTGGAGGTTAGTTATGTCCTTAAAGGCGCGGGCGGGATGCTTGCGATGCGCCGGTGCTTTCTACCTGAGCATAAGCTTGCATCGTCTCCAGGTCTTCTGGTGCCGTGAAGAGGCAGAACTCGGTGCGGGTCATGTCGTCCGACAGAGTCCCCCCCGGGGCTGCGGGAGGGGGGTAAAAAAACACCCCCAAGGGTCAAAACAGCGGCATGCTTTAACCGCATTGTGTTCATTTGAATGAACCATCCGGTGCGACTCACCCAGCATGCCGCCGGCCACCAGGATGTCGAAGAGCGTCTCTGCATAGCGCCGGTAGTCGAGCTTTCCGCCAGTGGAATCGAGGAACTTTGCGACCGCTTCCAAATCAGAGCCGCTTTGATTCAAGCCTTGTACGATACTTTCTTGAAACAGAGTAGGGTCAAATCTTTCCTTTTCATCTGTGGAAAGATTTTCGTCATAAAAATAATAAAAAAAACACCCGTGGCAATAACAAGACAACACAAAGCGGCACAAACCTCTTTTCCTCGTTTTGAACCGCTGGCCAGTGAGCGTCGGCTTTTGCTGCTTTTGATTACTCATAAAAGACACCCTGAAATAGCAGAGACGGTTAATGTTGACTTTAGTTTGGTGCTGCCGGCCGTGGGTGAAGTTTGACAAAACAAAGCCGACAGCGTTCCTTTGGTGCTCTCAAGAATAAACCTGTGCCTGTAAATAAATCCCATGACAAGTCAAACGAATCCTAGGATTTAAATTGGTTGATGGCGTAAATCACATCACATTTTGATCAATAAATGCTCAATAGCGAACCATAACTTAGAAAAAGACAAATGGTGTACATAGTGTGCAAAAACTAAATTAACAGTTGAAACCTAAATTCAAAGATGTTAATTGGCCAGATAGTTATCGAGAAAGAACACGTGATTTAGAGATAGTTATCGAGACAGAACACGTGATTTAAAGCTAGTTATTGAGAAAGAACACGTGATTTAAATGGGCATTTTGTTGGAGGGGTGGATGTATGACGTCATGATGGAAATCCTCACATAACGGTACCGGAGGGCGTTTCATCTCCTCCACAACAGACAGACCGAGGTGGAGCAACGCCGTGGTCTCATGTGGAGGAGTTAAAAGCCTCCATCAGATGAACGCGTGAGGGGTAGAAGATGAGTGCAGGCTGGAGAAATAACGAGGGAGTCCACCGCCTACAGCTGGCTGATTCTGGCATTAGCATCGGTTAGCTCTGGCCAACACGTTACTTAGCCGCTAGCGAGCTAACCGTGTGTTGTATTACACGTAACCGCTGATTACGCTCTTCTGTGACAGAACCACGCCGGCTGCTGGGCCGCCATTAGACTCGGCCGCCTGTGGAAATGTCACGGCGGCCGTCACATTAATATGGCGGTGGCGTTCACGTATGCGAGCTACATCGATGCTAACGCTAGCCTAGCAGCGCCCGTCACGGCGACAGAAAACCCCCGTAATTCAGCAGTTGACAAAGCGACCCGTTAAGATGTTACGGTACGATGGGGGGACGTACAGCAACTCACCGAAAGTAATGCAGTCAAAAAACGGTTGCGGTCCAGATGAATTTCGACTCTCTTCAGCGGCAGAAACAAAAAGACCTTTCCGGTGCTTCCGCAGGCTCCTCCCACTGCGCATGCGCGAATTAAAGGGCTTCTTCCTCATGAATATAGATTTTCTATCTTTAAAAAATAAGAAAAGCACAATATATCTACATATATTAAAATTATATATTGTTATATTATGCTTATATTTTAAGAGTATAAATTCACATACATGGCACCAACTATAGATCCCATACAACTATTTAACAGTAATTATTGAACACATCATTTCGATTCATTTTATTTTCTATAGCCCAAATTCGCAAAGTACAAATTTGCCTCCGAAGGCTTTACAGTCCGTACACATGCGACATCCTCCGTCCCGAAACCTTCACATCAGCACAGGAAAATTTCCCAAAAATGAAAAGGGAGGAAGGCTCAGTGAACATCAGAGGAGGATCCGTGTCCTGATGGTACTACAATGTACTAATGTACTTGTACTACAATTATGTCATGTGTGCAGAATGATCTGTGATGCTCATGAAAAAATAACGAGGGTTTATTTTGCAGAAACTTTTCAATCATTTATTAATTTATTATTGCCATGTCAGGAAATGATGAGGATAGACGTGCAATGAAAATTAAGTAAAAAGTGCAATAGAGTTTAGTACGTTATCAATAGTCAGTACACAGTCAGGTATTCGATTAATCAAAAAACAAACAAATGTGATATTCTGTTTTAGATGTTTAAGGCCCACGGTTTGAAAGATCCTGGTTTGCTCGCTGGAATCTGGAACAAAATAAAAATACAGTAATAAGTTATTAATACTTTTCGCCTTATTTTCACAACTAATTTACAGCCACAAAAAAACAGTGTCAGACGCAGGTGTCAGTTTACCGACTGAACTTGATTCATCAATAAAACAGGATGGAAACCCAGAGAGGACCTTTGACTTCTACATTCGTCAAATCATTAAATCATCTCTGCAGAGGGCAAAGTGTTCCATGGATGCTTTTTTAAACAGAATTTTGAAATAAAGCTGAAAAAGAATTTGAATAATTCCAGTATTTGGGCATCTTTACCTTCTGAGTGAACGGGGAGGCGCAAGCCAGACACGCCCTCTCCGCCGTGGCGGGGCTGTTCAGGGAAAACGGGCCCACCAGGCCGGACTCGGAGCGGGCGGCGGCCGCAGCGTCTTTGATGGCGAAGAACGCGGCGCTGCCCAGGAAGACGGCCGGCTCCCCGATGCCCTGCCGAGAAAGAAGCCGCCCCCCCCCGGTTCGTTAGAGACTCATGATGATGTGAGGGAGTCTGAGGCAAGGAAGCACAAACACAAGACAAGGCCCGACCCCTGACCTTTGAGGAGTAGATGGCGTGGGGGTTGGAGGAGTCCGGCAGCAGGTAGACGTTGAAGCGAAGCGGCACGTCGCAGACCGCCGGGATCTTGTACTGAGACGGACCTCGAGTGTACAGGAGCCCGGAGGGGGAGAACTTCAACTCCTCCAGGGTGTAGAGGCCCAGACCCTGCATGAAGGCGCCCTCGATCTGAGGGGAGGACGCAGGACAAAGGACAGGAAGGGGGGAGGAAGGAGGGAGCGGAAACAAGAGATTAATGATTATAGGTAGCAGAGAGATTTATGTCCATTAAGGTTACTTTTATTGCTAAATCAAACCTTTGGCTAAAGTTACTAAACACGTCTCTTTTCTATTTGAAACGCTGTTAAAACGTATCTACTGCTCCCTTTTACTTGAATACTTTATATTTTACAAGCGCTCGATGAATTGAAAGAGACTCAGACTCACCTGTCCGATGTCCATTGAGGGGTTCACACTTCTGCCGATGTCCACCACGATGTCCGTCCTCAGCGTCTGCGAGACAGAACCAGAACAATCCCCTGAGAATGATGAACGGGTCGCCCTAATGCACACAGTGGTTCCGATCCAAAGGGGCTCTGACCCTGTAGTCCCCCGTGAGGCAGTCCAGCTCCACCTCGCAGCAGCACACCCCGAAGGTGAAGTAGGCGTAGGGCCGTCCCTCCTTCTTGTCCCAGTCCATGTACAGGTCGGGGCCTCTGAGGACACGCAGGAGGCCGTTACCGCCTCTTGAATCCTTGTTCACGTAATCATAACAAAGTCCATACGTACTTGTAGAAGCCCGTCGCCGATAGACTCATTTTCTCATAGAATGCGGTCTGGACCTGAGTACAAATCGCAAATACACCCCATTCAGTTGTTTCCCAGAAAAACAATTCAACTACTTTTTTTTTCTTTCAAACCTACCCAACTCTCCCATGATCCTTTGGGGTTCCTCAGCCTGATGGGCTCCAGGCGCTGGTACAGAATCTGGCAGGCGTTCTGCAGGAAAGAACAATCACTTTCGTTTCAGAATGAAAGCGGAGCGACGGCGAGAACAGAAGCACCGGCATCCGGACGTCACCTGGACCGCCATGCCGTTGGCGTCGGTACCGCAGGAGGCGGCGGAGGGGCTGGCGTTGGGGACCGTGTTGGTGCTGGTTTCACTGATGTAGACCTTAGAGGCGGGGACGTGCAGCTCCCGGCTCGCCACCTAAACCGGAAACAGAGAGTTGCAGCCTCTTTGTTTCGTTAAATGACTCCGCCCCCTTTCTCCGATAACGTAGACGCGGTACCTGTTGCATTTTAGTGTGCAGCCCCTGACCCATCTCCGTCCCGCCGTGAGACACCAGGACGGACCCGTCTTTGTAGATGTGGACCAGAGCGGCGGCCTTTCACACACACGAGGAAATAAACAACTCTTCTTAGAGTGAGAATGAGGTTGTTTGTGTTGCACAGTGGACACGTTGCATCTACTAACGAGGAAGTGGTTCTGCTACGCGCGGCGGCGTCCGACAATCTGAGCCTGGATGCAGACGCGCTGTGATCCCACACACCTGATTCAAGAAGCCGTCTGAGAAGGCGATGCCGTACTTGATGGGCACGATGGACATCCCCCTCTTCCGCCAGCGGTTCTCCCGGTTGAACTGGTCCGCGGCCCGCCGGCGCGCGCCGTGGTCCGCCTTCAGCTTGCACTCCTCCCAGCAGCGCTGCAGGTTCTCCGGGCTGAACTCCAGCTTGTACTGGGTGACCGAGGGCCCTTTGTACATGTTGATCTCCCGGATCTGGTGGGCGGGGCGCCGCAGCAGCGCCGCCACGTCCTCCACCATGTTCTCCACCACCAAGAGGCTCTGGGGCACGCCGAAGCCCCGGAAGGCGGTGTTGGAGGGCAGGTTGGTCCTGCAGGCGGCGGCGTGGCCCCTCAGGTTGGGGATGTTGTAGGCGTTGTCAAAGTGGAGCAGGAACTTTTCCACCACCTGCAGGGAGAAGACGATGAGGCGCCGGCCTTTTCTGTTTCTTAACGTCGTCGGAAAACATTTTCCCCACCAGGACAGATTCATCCGCCATGTTGCCGGCGTTGGCGTAGTAGTGGAAATCTGCAGCCACGATCCGCCCGTCATTCATGAAGCCCACCTGAGAGACGAACACACGTCAAAACAAAACCTCTAAGAGAATGTTAATACCGAAAGTTTAGTTGACAGATATTTAAATTATTCTATACAATAATTAAGAAATCTGATACTTCACTGGAATAATCTGTAGAATATTTAATAACGCTTCACAACCCCCCGTCCTCAGTATGCGCTTTAAGTAGCATAATTAATAATCCCTCTTGTGAATATATTGTCTTGTCCCTGGAGATCCATACTTTGTATTTGCCCAGGACGGGGTGCCGGGCGCCGGTGATCAGCATGTCCTCTCCTCGCTCCAGGACGCAGCGGACCGCCCGGTTGGTCCTGAGCAGAAATGTCGAAAAATACCTTCATAACAATCAACTCAAACAAAAGAAACACAGAGATATTTCTTGCTGTTGAGTCGTGACCAGCGATTCCTGCCGTGGTGATCGGGGCCTTACTTCCACGCCGCCACGCCGGTGATACAAGCCAGAGCCGCCGTTTTAACCACCTTCCCCCCGAAGGCGCCGCCGATCCTTCTGACGTGGCAGGTGACTCTGTTGGACGGGATGCTCAACGTCTCCGCTATCGCTTCCTGCAGGGACGGGGGGAGCAAACAGCCCGTGAGCTGCTGCCCTAGAAAGGAGGAGATGTTCTCCAGAGTTAGGGGAGTACCTGCATCAGCGTGGGGAACTGGGTGGAGACGTACGCGTTGAACTCCGTCTCCTCGCCCACGGGGACGACCAGCATGCTCTGGGTCTCCATGTAGAAATGCTCCTGGCCGCCTATCCGTAACTCTCCTGCAACGGCAGCAGGGGAGAGCAGCTTCTGTTTCAGGTGCGATGAGCAACGGCTCAAGAAGAAGAACATTACGGCAACAAGAGCTTCCACGAACAGGAAGCCGAGGATTCACCTTCGTGAACCTGATCGACTGATTCAAAGGCTTCGGTCACATTTCCTCTCTCAATCGTCCTCCGAGGCTCAAAGAAAGACGACTTCTCCACGGCCTCCTGCGGGACACAACGGCGCAGCGGTAAGAACAGCGAGTCGTGACGTCGTGACCTGAGGGAGCGCGGAGAGCCGACCTCTGCGGTGAACACTGGGTCGGGCAGGTCCTCGTAGGCCACCTTCACAGCCGCTGCTCCTCGTTTGGCGTGCGACCTCGAGTCGGCGACCACGGCGCACAACATCTGACCGATGCAGGACACCTGCGCGCAAAAGAGTGGGAGAGACGATTAGACACTGAGAGCGCGGAGCAGCAGCACAGATGTGCAGGCGCTGCCGCTCTACCTCGGTCTCAGCCAGCAGCTCCTCTTCATAACCACACAGCTTACGCGCTTTCTGCCCCGGAATGTCTTTGGCCGTGATGACGTCGACGACCCCGGGGAGCCTCAGCGCTTCGCTGGCGTCCAGCCCTCTGTGGCGCGCAGACAAAGAGTCAGAACAAGAGGAGGAGCCTCAGAGCGCCGGGCATCGGCCTCCCGCCTCCTTACGTTATTTTGGCGTGCGCTCGGGAGCTGGTGACCAGAGCCAGGAAGAGCTCGCCCTCCGTGGCGGGGAGGTCGTCGCAGTAGACGGCCTCCCCCGTGGCGTGGCTGAGGGCGGAGCGATGCATGATGGGACGGCCCACCGGGTCCTGGTCGCTCTGGTCCTTCGGCACATGCTGAAGGAGAAGAAGACGAAGCAGAGGTGTGGATGAAAAGTCGAAAAAGACAAAGCTTGTTGTCCATTTCCTGCATGTCTTGTGACCTGGAACTCCTGCAGGCCGGGGTGGATCTCTCTGGGCAACGGCTGCATCTTCTCAGGAATCTCCTCAGTGATCACATGCTGCACACAAACCCCCTGATGTAAGAGTCACATTGGAGGTGAATCAAATCATGCAACGGCTTAGGTTTGTATTTTACCATTTCTTTCAGTTTCTGCAGGACCTCCAGGTGGAATTGAAAGAGGAAGCTGAGAGTCAAAGAGCGACGGAACTCCACTTTTCCTCCAGGAGCCGAGAGTGGGAGGACCAACTCGTCCAGGAGGACGTTGTAGGCCTGGCTGAGGGTCTCATCGTCCCAGGGCCTGGGGGACACACTCAGGTTTTTACTTTACTTTGGCCCCTGCTGAAAATCAAGCTGCTGTCTGGTTGAGTTAGGAAAAGCAGGACTAGAGCAAATGGAAAAGAGAAGAAGGAAAACAAAGACACGGGAAGCAGAAAAGGAGATGAAGGTGTGAACGGCAACAAAAGATTAAAGCAAGAGGACAGCAGAAGAAAAGCGCAGGTTGAACTGAACTCTGTGTCTGACCTGGAGACGATAGCTGCGCAGGTCTTGGTGGCGCAAACTGTGGTCGGCCCCATCCCCCCGTAGTAAATACTGACGTCCTGAACCACCCGGGACCCCTCCGAGAAGAACACTCTCATCCCGGTGGTCACCGTGGAGAAGGAGCTCTCCTTCCTGGGGGCCTGTCGGAAAGCTCCAAAAAACTCCCCCTGCAGGACAGACAGAGTAGTTCAACCCAAACTGACGGCTGCAGACAGACCGGCTGCAGACAGACCTGCTGCAGACAGACCCGCTGCACACAGACCCGCTGCACACAGACCGGCTGCACACAGACCGGCTGCACACAGACCCGCTGCACACAGACTCGCTGCATACAGACCGGCTGCAGACAGACCCGCTGCACACAGACCGGCTGCACACAGACCCGCTGCACACAGACCGGCTGCACACAGACCCGCTGCACACAGACTCGCTGCATACAGACCGGCTGCAGACAGACCCGCTGCAGACAGACGGCTGCAGACAGACGGCTGCAGACAGACCTGCTGCATACAGATGGCTACACACAGAGAGCACAGCCGTACCTTTCTGGAGAAGGGAATGAAGACAGAAACTAGAATCTCTTCTGGCTTCAGGATGGTTTTCCCAAAGCTCACAAAGAAGTCTTGATTCAGAGGGAGCTCTCGTCTTCCCCCTGGTGGACGCAGACAGAACCTCTTCAGAGACAACGCGCGTGGACGTCACACACCTTCCAGAAGCCGTCACTTACCAGCAGAAACTACGCTCACTCTGCAGTTCCCTGCAGCCAGAACCGGGTTCAGGTCCGAGTTTGGGTACGCGCTCACGATGTTTCCCCCGAGAGACTAAAAAACACCAAAATGAAGCATAAACACACCCGTTGAACATGGAGCACACGCAAGGAGGGGTCTATACTCACAGCGACGTTGCGGATCTGCAGGCTCCCCAGGGTGCCCAGCTGCCGGATCAGAGCCCGGAACAGGCCGGTCTGCTCCTCGGCGAGCTGAGGGAGCAGCTTCTCCAGAAGGGACCAGACCTCGGTGAGACTGCAGCCCGCTCCCACCCAAACACCTGGAGAGGAGCCGGCAGGTCTGATGGGCGCGGCGGAACTAGAAATCATTTTGGAAACTACAAAGGCGAGGAAGGGGCCTCACCCTGTGGCGTGCGAGTGACCTCAAACAGCTCCGTGACTCTGGTGGGCGATATCATCAGCGGGTGCAGGACACCTTTGAACTTCATACCTGGACCTTAATCACACAAAGAAGACCAATTTACAACTATGATAATAATATAGGAGCAGCTTTATTACACAAGATGCACCTTGTTTCCTGGTTTAAAAGACACTACATAACATTTGTTTTATCACCATTCTGTGAACAAGAAGTCACCTTTTTCTAGATCGGAATCGAAGGATTTTTACAAAAGAGGTTTTGGGACAAATCTAACTTAGGGAGTCGGGTGAGATCCCAGGGGAAAGATCGGATATCCTCTCATATTAAAACGTTGTATTTACAAGAAAACTTCCTCGCTTCACAGATCAAACTGCAGTGCAAATATTTTAGTACTCGTTCATAGGAGGCCAGAAACCCCCAACATGCATCTCTCATCACCTTCACTTCACTTAGAAACCGCCCTTGGTGTATGAACTCATCAGGATGCGTGAGAGAAGCAGATCCTCAGTGCAAAGACCCACCTATGTTGCTGTTTCCCACCACCAGCGGAGCTTCAGGGTTCCTGGCCTTGAGCTGGAGCAGCTCCTCCAGGGAGGAGGGGGACACCCAGCTCACCCTCTCCCCGCGAAAGGTGAGCGTCTTCGGGTTGGCTGCCTCCGCCATCAGCTGGGGGAGAGAGTGCAGCGCTGTTAAAGAGGGACCTGAAGGGCCTCTGTGTGAGGGACGTCCCACCACTCACTATCAGCTCGGGGGGGAAGATGAGCTCCTGGGTCGGGTCCAGGGGAAGAAACTCTTCTTTGTCAAACAACCGGGGCTTCTCCTCCTGCACAGAACGTATGAGAGGAATGACGTCAGAGCAGAGGAAGAAGAGGAGGAGCAGGTCACTGAACACAGATCTTAAATAAGGAACCAGTGCCTCACATGAGCTGGTTCATCGGGGTTCTGCTCTCCCTTTTGGCAGCAGTCTTCACCTCCGTTGGCTTGGCAGCAGTTGGCTTCCTGTTGGGATCAATCGACACTCTTTAAATGATCAATTTATTGATCGCGGTTGCTGCTCCTGCCGTCAGACCTGAGTTTTAGTGGCTCATTTGACTCCGAGCTTTGTACCTGACAGAAGGTCCTGCAGCCGTCGATGATGGGTCGATAACCGGTGCACCTGCACAGATTACCTGAACAGCAGCACCACACAGGAGCAGCTCAATAATCACCACCGTGCAAATAGATCACTGGACCAGAACAAGCTAAACAGATAAAAGCAGAGGGAAACAAACCAGCCAGAGCCTGAGTGATGTCCTCCATGGTGGGCTGAGGCCTGTTCCTCAGCAGCGTGTACATGGACATCACCATCCCTGGCGTGCAGAAGCCGCACTGGGAACCGTGAGCTTTGGCTATGCGCTCCTGCAAACACAGCATCCACAACATTTCTTCTCTTTGCATTAAACGGGAAGTTTGATTGAGGGGATGTAAAGTTCCATATTGACCAGACTCCATTGACAAAAGCAGTCATTTTAACGCTGTCTGTTAAACGTTAAACGCTGTCTGTTAAAGTCTGTTTGCGTTTTGTCTGACTCTAGTGTTTTAAAGGCTTCAGAGCCAATGGAGGCAGCATCAACCCCTTTATTCTGGATGGAGTCTGGCGGCTCTGCAGAGTCTAGAGAACAGCTCTAGTGAGAACCCATGTGGGTTCTTTTAGGAGTCCTGACCTGCACCGGGTGGAGTCGGGTCTTGGTGCTGCCGACGCCCTCCACCGTGGTGACGGAGGCTCCGTGGAGCTGGCACAGCGGCAGCAGGCAGGCGTTGACCGAGTAATGTCTGACGGTGAAGGAGGAACTGCGACACTCGATTACACCACCAGCACTACTGGGAGTACTGGTACTCTTACTGGGACATAAGAGCTTGTTTTATGTCACTGACAACATGAGAACGAGAGAGAAACCGTCTGAGTGAATAATTCATCTCCCCACTGGTTTTATTCACACATGCTTACAGGATGGTACGATACAACTGGCCAATGAGTGTTACTTTACAACATAAAACATTTTATTTTATGTGACAAATATATCTTGCCCTTAAAATGTTACACCATCAACAGAGGTCGACACATCTGTAGCCCCGCCCCAAAGCGTCCCTATTTGACTCTGAATGGTCCATAATTTACTAAATGAACATCATGCTGTATTGTAGAAGACTTGAAACTAGAGACTGATTGATATAAACTCATGTTTATAATGTTTACTGAGGGAATAAATCAAGAGAGAATTAGAGTAATTTTCTCATAGACGTCTATGGGACCAGAGGAGTCGCCCCCTGCTGGTCACTACACAGAATGCAGCTTTATCACATGAAGCTCTGGCTTCCAGACGTTGGTAAATCACAAAGGATACGTGATGGTTCTGGTGGCCGGTTGGAGGCGGGACAACATGACCGTGCACGCGCCGCAGCCGCCGCCGCCGCAGCCGTACTTGGTTCCCGTTAACCTCACTGAGGTCACAGTCAAGGAAGCCACCAGAGGCCTTGAGGCCCGGAGGGGGCGCTGTCACCTCGAGGCAAAAGAAAAGGAAAAGATGTTTGAAGGATACGCTTCTCCCGGAGGAAGGACAACAGCGTGGTTTCGGGGTCCGCGTTGTTCTCCGTCACCTGTTTCAAGAAGAGCAAAGAGGAAACATCTCAGTCTCAGTGACAAAGTTACAGCCTTTCACACTGTATCAGACACTGATTGATAACATATTTGAAATGACTGTTATATAATGTTTAGCCTTGGTCAACAGAGAGTCTGCTCTCTCACAGAGGTCCTGTGTGTTACAGGTCAAATGATGGTCAGAGTGTTTGATTGTCAGTCCAGAAAATCATAGGAACTTATGGTGTAAAGTTTTATGTTCCGATTCAAGTATTTAATAAATGTCAGGTTTTATTATTTTACACCAGTGTCAAGTAAGATGTTTCTAGTCTCAAACGATTATTTGATAGAGGCAAATTTCTGGAAAGTGACAATGTTATCATTGAGCCCATAAAAACAGTCACACGATTTAATATCACTCCTTAATCTTCTTATGTGGTTGTTTATTGTACATTAGTAGTTACTGACTGACTAATGACATAACAGTGACCAACGTCCACATGTAGCACTAGATTACTTTGAAATACTTTTAAAAACATCTTATGTGTACAAGATGGTAATAAACAATCAGTTCTACCATTTATTTTTCAACCTTCATTTCCGGTAAACAATCGGAGGGGGTCGCAGTTTTCGCTGTAACACCGGTTATTGACTCTGACTAGTTTGCGGTTGATTTGATGCATTTAATTTTAATTTTTCAAGTGGCTGATAGTTTTAATCAAATTTAAAGTTGCGTTAAATAAACTTGCAAAATTAAAATGTGTGAAGCGTAAAACGTAAAACCGTTAACGTTTCGTTACTGATTAACAGTTAAAATGAGCAAGAAGACAACAAAGCGTTCGTGACTAACGTCAGGTGGCAAATGTGAAACGAACCTTTTTCCCATTGATGAAGAAGCACAAAATATCCCCTTGTTTCTCCGCAGGCATCTTCGAAGACATGTTGACGAGCAAAACACGAGTAGTGAAAGATGAGGTGACTTCAAATCTACGTCACTTCCACCTGTCGTGACTACCAAAATAAAACAAACGGAGGCACGGAAAATAGGTCACCTGCAGAACAGATTCATACATTCATTTACAAAATTATTTTTAATACAAAATAGTACTTTGCAACACATTATATTATTTTTATTTTTATGATATTTGCATTGTTCCTTTATATGATGTTAATATTTTAAGATGTTAGCCTGCATTGCTGGTATTCCCAGATATGGATTTCCTGACCCGCACTGCTTCCGGTCTCTGCCTTGACCCATCAACCAGAAACCGCCCACCTCGAAACTGAAGTGACCCTTGTGAACAAAACAAACACCCCATATTTGGTAAAGGGAATTTTACATTGGTAAAATCATAACTGAATAATCTCAACGTTATCCGATCGTTGAGTTGCGTTACTCGCATTCTTGCAGATAACGTTGCATTCGGAGGAAAAGAGCGGAGGATTCAGATGAGCCGTCTTTAACCGTCTTCGGCATATTTATTTGACGAGCTGCCGCTGACACATCCGTCTCACGGTCAGACGGCCTCCATCACTTCTTCATATAAAACGGCAAAACATTCTGGGACAAACAAAACAGCAACGCAAACGAGTGCCCCCTTGTGGCTCATGCACAACACAGCTCAGCACTGTCCTTCACCATCACCACAACTGAGGACATAACGAACACATCCCAACACAATGACTCAAACAGAATTCAATGATACTAATAACTGTAATATTGGTTGAGTGGCTTTGTGTGTTAACTCTGTGTTACTTTTGAATAAAGTGAAACTGTCTTTCTTCCTCACGGCTCTCCGTGTCATTGATTTGTTCATTTTAAAATGCTTCAAACTCCACCACGACGACATACAGATAACGCGTTACCGGAAACTACCGCAATTACTTTCATTAATTTGGAAAAATTACAGAAGAGGACGATGTTCATAATAAACCACGTTAGACACGTTTATAGTTATGCCTGTTCTGACATCGCGTGGAACCTGCCACATGTGCACAAACATGTGGCAGGTTGTTGTCGTCACATTACTGCTTCATTTTTATCAGTGATGTTATTTTACTAAATTATTTTATTTTACTCAATTTGTTTTATTTGAATAATTTACTTTTTAATCAATTTGATTCATTAATTCAATTTATTTTTTCATTTTAACCGTGGGGAATGGTGATATTGTTTCTTCTAAATTCAGGCTTTAAATAAGGGATGTTTTCTAACTTTTCTTACGGTGCTTTGTTCTTTAAAAGGTTCTAAATGAATAAAGTCAATATTATTATTATTCTATAATTACGTCAAGCAGAAGACAGGTAAAGCGAAGCTAATGGAAGCTTGGTGTTTCCACCAGAGAGAAACCACAAAACAAGGGGAGCTCCCTCTCTGGCATGTTTGCTCGCTGATTCAGAACCTCGTTGTTGGTTTCATCTAAAGGTCGGCTCTGTAGAACAATAATTAACAGAGAGGTCAAAGGTCGTTTCCCTCAGCAAAGGATTCACTCCGCTGTGTCCAGTTGGAGCTCAACCGGTGAGTCCGCCGCTTCTTTGCTTTTGTTTAATGAAACAATGACTGATTGTGGTGTTTGATTCTGCATGTTTAGGTGTTTATTCTAATGTAGTTTAAAGGAAAACGCAGCTGCTTAATTCATTTAGGGCAAGTCGCTCATTCTAACCTTTCAAAGTAAAATAGAATCACTGCAAACGGTGTCCTGCTAAAAAGTGGAACGTTATGAGCATAATTAGAGAAGCAAATTCTGCTTTTAAGTTGTCGTTTAAATCGATGATTCATGTAAAACATATGAAACTGCAGTTCTATGGTCAAGTAAGTAAGGTTATTTTTCTACAAAATGCTTATTTCCAAATGCAGATATATGTGCTTCTTCATGTTTAAAATGCCTTTTGGACCCTTGAACTTCCTGTTTGCTCTTTGCACACATTTTTCAATTGAGAAAAACTCTTTAGATTGTGGAACTTACAAGCAGATAAACATCCCGTAGCAGCGTCCTCGTCCCCCCCAGCCATGGACCGGTTTGTGGGCTTGACAGCGAGGGAAACCGTGGAGCGGATCGCGGCTCAGCTGGACCGCGGCCCGACCTCTGCAGACGTGGCGTCCTACCTGGACCAACAGGACACGCTGCGGCACCTCAGGAGGAAGTTCCTGGTGCCCAGGATGGCGGACCTGCCTCAGGGTGAGTGAACCAAACGAGTGCTTTGGAGAGGTGAGTGTCCGGTACCTGAGATCCGTGAGGATTCCTCCGTCTGGTGCCCCCGCAGCCGACCTGTCGCTGGTCGACGGCTCCCAGGAGTGCATCTACCTGGTGGGGAACTCGCTGGGGCTTCAGCCCAAGAAGGCCGGGAAGTACCTGAGGGAGGAGCTGGACAAGTGGGCCAAAACGTACGTCTCGCTGTGCACTTTAGGGGCATTTTAACGTGGTGTACTTGAATGCGTAGTGACCTCTTTCCACAGGGGCGTCCACGGTCACATGGCGGGCGCGCGGCCTTGGGCCTGGGCCGAGAACACCCTCGAGGGGCTGATGGCGGACGTTGTTGGTGAGCGATCGTGTTCGCAGCAGTAGGGTTGGTTTGTGCTGCTCACACAGCGGTTTTCACCAGCGTTTCATTGGGTTTTTCTTTGTTTGAAGCAGCTTGCTGAGGGCACTGCGCTTTCTGTCAAGGTCAAAGTTCACATGAAGATCTTTAAACAAACTGCAGTGCACATCAAGTTACGTTTAGCATTATTATTGTTATGTATAGTGTTAAGTATTTTCTTTAGTTTATTGATTTATGCATTCCTAAAAACATATTTTAGTAATTTTCTTCAATAAATAAAAATGAATAAATGAAATCTTGTGTCATGCACACACAGTTTATATTATAGGAGCCGACATGGACACAAAACAAATACAGTTTGAAAGTCACACAACCTGTTCACTAATTAATCAAATGATGATAAAATAAAACCTGAAGTGTCTCCTGCAGGAGCTAAAGCTGAGGAGGTGGCACTGATGAACGGCCTCACCGTCAATCTGCACCTTCTACTGGTAACGTTCCACAAGTGATGGTTTAACAGAGCGGTGCCATGTGGCGCGTCAACGGAAGAGAATCCACGCATTTAATCCGGTTCAACGGGGGCTTCCGTGTCGTTGCTCTGCAGCTCTCCTTCTACAAACCCACAGCAGCTCGCCACAAAATCCTCCTGGAGGACAAGGCCTTTCCCTCGGACCACGTGAGTGGACCCTCTGCGCGCAGACGCCACAGCACCAGCTCCTAGTGGCCGCGCTGCTGCTGCTGGTTACTCACTTTAACCCGTGGAACGCACTAAGAATGAAGCAGACTTGTTCTGGTGCTCCATCATCAACCATCCTCTCCCTGGACTTCCCTCAGTACGCCGAAGAGTCTCAGATCCGGCTGCGAGGATTCGACCCGGCGGGCAGCATGCTGGGGCTGGCCCCCAGACCGGTACCCCCCCCCCCCCCCCCCCACCACCATGAACAAAGGTCACGCGGTCACTGAAGGCTGACGTCGGGCTTCTGTTCAGGGAGAGGAGACCCTGAGGACCCGCGACATTCTGGAGGAGATCGAGAGGGAGGGCGACTCCATCGCCGTGGTGATGTTCAGCGGGGTTCAGTACTACACCGGCCAGCTGTTCGACATGGCCGCCATCGCCGAGGCCGGCCGGAAGAAGGTAACGCACGGGTTTCGCGCTCAGGCGCGGCGCTGCGGTGAGGCACGTTTTCTCCGATCGCGTCTCAAACCGGAGGCCTTCCTCGTCCATCAGGGCTGCTTCGTGGGGTTCGACTGCGCGCACGCCGTCGGCAACGTGGAGCTGAAGCTGCACGACTGGGGGGTGGACTTCGCCTGCTGGTGCTCCTACAAGGTCAGACACCTCGCGCCGTCCCCCGGCGTGTTAATAAGCGTCTAACGTGGGGGGAATCTTCTGCTCACAGTACGTCAACTCGGGAGCCGGAGGGCTGGCCGGCGCGTTCGTCCACGAGAAGCACGACCACCACATCAAACCCGCGTGAGTCCGAGCATAACAATGCGAGAATGAATCTGCCGGCTACTAAACCACATTGAGAAGGAGGCCTTCAAATCTGTAGATACACACATCTACTTCACTTCACGCAACCTGCATCTCCTGTCGCCTGCAGGCTGCTGGGATGGTGGGGTCATGACCTTAAGACTCGGTTCCTGATGGATAACGGTAAACGCAGTCATGTGCGTGACACAAAGCTGCTACGTGACGTGTGAACGTCACCTCTGTGTCTTCTGGCCCGTGTGACTCAGAGATGCAGCTGCAGCGCGGCGTGAGCGGCTTCAGGCTGTCGAACCAGCCCATCCTGCTGGTCTGCCCCCTGCAGGCCAGTCTGGAGGTACTGCGGCGCCCTCCTGCGTGAGTCCACGTGAAAGGCTTCCCCAAAACGCCCGATAAAGGTGAGTCCTCTTGATTCTTCTCCAGGTGTTTAAGAAGACCAGCATGCCCGCGCTGCGCAGGAAGTCCCTCCTGCTGACGGGCTACCTGGAGTATCTGATCCAGCACTACTACGGCGAGGACCCGGCGCGGCCTCACAAGCCGCACGTGCGCATCATCACGCCCTCTGACCCCCGGCAGAGAGGCTGCCAGCTCTCGCTCTGCTTCTCCGTGAACGTCGCCGGGATCTACCGGGAGCTGGAGAAGAGGGGCGTGGCTGTGAGTATGGCGTCTCGTTGTGAAGGAAGCGTTGCAGTCGTGCCCCGCTGACGCTCGTGTCTCTGGTCCAGTGCGACATGAGGGAGCCCAGCGTGCTGCGGGTCGCTCCGGTGCCGCTCTACAACTCCTTCGCCGACGTCCACGGCTTCGTCCAGGCGCTGGGATCGGCTCTCCGGGCCTGCGGCCAAGGAGCGACGACCTCTGACCCCGAGGAGCATTCTGGCATTTTACCTCGTTGAATGAACGGGATTTTATACGTCCGTGTTGAAGCAAAACTGTTCTAAGGAACGTGGTTTATTTCTGAAAACTCGCCAAAAACGTTTCAATAAAAGATGAATTGAGAAATGTTTCTTTTCTGGGCCGGTTTGCTCCATTGGGACAACGAGATGTTCTCAGCTTTCTGGAAGGGTCTCAAAGTGAATTTCCAGTAAATGCTTGATGTTCCCTGCCAGGCAAGTCCTCATCGTTTCTGTGATGAAGCCACACATCACTGCAGAAAATACACACCAGACGTCGGCTCGTGGCAATAAGTTGATGTTATCATTTCAATAATGGAATTAACGAGCCAATAAATTGATTTTATTCATTGTCACACTTTTACAAGTTGGCTTGTGATCCGGCAACAAACAGAAGAAGAAGAAGAACGAGCACGTTTACCAGCGTTTGCACGTTGTGTAGTTTTTAACATTTGATTAGAAAAACATGAAACAAATATTCAACATTGAAGGAGATTTGAGGGTAAAGGTCAGATGTCAAAACTTACATTTTATTGGACAATCTCAAATGTCCGAGAGTTTTTGTCCCACAAAATGAGCAGAGTTGCTTCCTGCAGATTTATGAGATCGGCTCTTTTTTCTGAAAAACGTCCTCAGTGTAGAAAAAGCTCTTTTTAGTCCTCCACACCTCAGCGGGAGTCTTCATGTTAAAGGTTTCCTCCTCCTCAGTCCTCCACCCTGGTCCTCTGGAGCGCCTCCTCCTCGTCCTCGCCCTCCTCGCCCTCCGTCTCGTTGGTGGCGTAGGAGCCTTTGTGTCTGGACGAGCTCCACAGCAGCAGCACGCCGATGCAGACGAGCAGCAGCAGCACGGAGACGGCGATGGCTGAGGAGGAGAAGGTGGACAGCGAGAAGATGACGGGGAAGCTGCGTTGGCGGGACCTCGGCGGGAGGAAACGTTTCTCACCTGCAATCAAAGCCGCGAACACGCCGTCATCCACGTGGCTGCCTGTGAAAGTGTGTTAAACGTTAAAAACTGAAACTTCAATATGTGACCTTTAACCTCTGTGAAGCGTCCCCATCAAGCCTCGTTTTACTACAATAAAACCTCACGTCTTTACCTGAGATTTACAGTTCTGAGCTGCTGAAGTACTTCAACAGGGAAGTTTACTTCGTGTTGTACTGTAAGTACATCATGTAAAAAGTACCAAAAGGTGTAAGGACAACAGTACACAACAGGGGGGCTTTGGACCCCCCCCCCCCCCTCCCCTCCCGCTGCCATGGAAACAAGGGCCAGCTGGTATCAATGGGTCAGCTCTTATCTCCGTGGCAACAAACCATGGAGGCGTCCCTCTCACTCCTTCACATACTCCTCTCCTGACATCACCTGATAAGACACTCCCCAACGCACACACACGCACACACACACACACACACACACACACGCACACACGCACGCACACGCACGCACACACACACATGCACGTAAAGTATTCTCAGCACAATTTATTTAAAGTATAGGAAAAGTACCTGACATGTGCAACCAACATGTATCCGAGTACTTCATCTAGTTTTAAATATGCACTGTTAAGCTTTCCAACATGGGGGTCAGGCCCCTCAAAAGGGTCGCCAGATGAACCAGAGCGGTCGCAGGATGATCGACGGGAGAAAAACACAATCTTCATCCTCCTGCTTGTGAGAGGGTTTGAAAGTGAAACCAGCTGTTGATGAACATGCACACGCACCCTTCGTCAGTATCTCCGTCACTACTCCAGGAGGAGGAGAGGTTGGCTCAAACGGCGTCGGGAAAGTCGACGTCAGCACAGACGGCATCGGCACAGACGGCGTCGGCTCAAACGTCGTCGGCTCAAACGACGTCGCAGAGACAGCGGCGGTGGAGAAGTTCATGATGACCTCAGCAGCAGAAGTCATAATCAAACATTGAGAAAAGTAGAGAGGAAGCAGCTACTTCTGTTCAGTGGAGATGATCCATCCTGAATACACACATGCAAATCACGCGACCTTCTCATAACTGTAAATAAAACGTCTAAACTGGAATTAATTCATTGCGAAACGTTTTTCATGCCGTGAACTATGGAGTCAGTGTTTATCACATTAAGCTCATTTTATTCAGAATATATTCTCTAACCTACAGACGAGTTCATTCTTTCAGTCTCTTTCATTTATTCTGTAAGATGGCATCAATCATTAGCTGTGTGTTTGCAGCAAAACACAAATAAAAAAATGAAGCACAAGATCTCAAACTGGGATTTAAAAAGGTCAAAAAACAAACGACAAAACTCACCAGTTCTAAGAAGAAGAAGAAGAAGAAGAAGCAACGCAACAGGAAATATGCTTGAAGAACACAAACACGCACACACACACACACACACATGGGTGTGGGGTCAGTCCCCAGGGTCGAGAGCTGTTCCCCGCCGGCCAATCACGGGGCTGGCTCCGCCCCCCTGGCGCTCCACAGCCTGCAGATGTCTGACATGACGTCATGTTTAAGCCGTTAGCCTCCATGCAGATCTTCTGTGGTCTTCACCGGGTTTCTATGGAGGAGTTTGGTGTTTCCTGCATTTCCCAGAAGGCCTCAAAACAGCCCGAGGAGAGACAGATGTTCTTTTATTGGTGTATTGGGTATTTTTAAAAGGACGCATCCTTCTGGAGGACTGGAGGAACGAAGCTGGTGGTCTTCAGCAGGAAGTCAGTGAACTTTCACAATAGCAAAACACACAAAGGAACATGAGTGAGGAAAGATGTGAGTCTGACGCTGTCCACAAACATCCAGAAATCAATGAATAAAACAACCTCTATCAATATTTTGCATTTATTAAATGGCATGTTTGCACATTTTAGGGGGAAAACAAACATAAAACAGCATTTTTCTTTTTTGTAGCACAAAAACAACTCAAAGAGTCAAACATTCATTTCATTTCAAAAGTCACACCTGTTTTTATGTTTCCTTTGCCTGACGAGAAGTGTGAGAAAGTACATTTAATATCAGTTGAATCTGATAAATCCTTGTGATTAAGTTTAGTGAGTTATGACTCAAAAAACATGACATAAGCATGAAAAAGCCACATCGACCTTTTAGTAGCCAAAGAAACGAATGAATTAAATGAATTCTATATTGTTAATGCATTTGACTAAGTTACACATCTATTAATCGGTCTCCTAATGAGCTGAAGCTCTGGAGTCACGTGGAAACGTTCACCACGGGGTTGATGGTCTTCAAAGGTTCCTCTCGGTTGATTCATGGTTTCTTAAAGGGAAGAATCCCCAAAGAAGGACTGGATTCATCTTAATGTTCTATATTCCTCCAACTTTCACCGAACAACAATCTGTCTCTTTAAACCGTAAAGTTTTGTTTGGATTTCCAACGTTAAGCGTTATTCCCAACGGGGACTTTAATCCAGGAGGAACTACGCTCCCATCCTGATAATCCTCATTTTTACAATTTCACTGGATCTTTTTGGCAGAAGATCCTTCATGTTTCAGTGTGTTTTATGAAAAAGTGCCAAACCATTTGCAGCCACTGGGATCTGAGGTGCTTTAAAGTGTAGTTTAAGTGATTGGGAGTCGGAGTGGGAACCTTCCAGAAGCCTCTCTGCCGGCCTCCGGCCTCAACGCCGCTCCGTGTGCGTCGCTAAGCTTCCTTCTCTCCTGCTCCCTCTTCTTCTTTACAATCTACCGCCCTCCTCCCCCCCCCTCCCTCCTCTCCCTCACTCGTCCTCATGCTCAAAGAACTCGTGGCAACAGACGGTAACCACGGAGACGAAGGTCATGAACTCCTGGAAGTCGCACTCGGCGTCTCCGTCGGCGTCCAGACTCTCCATCAGGGCGTCCAGGGCGGCCTGGTCCTTCACGTGCTGCGGGGGTCACACGGGGACAATTATTTACAATACGCACGTTATTATTATAGCTTTTACAATCTGTTCCTTATCGGGAAGAAAAGGTTAAAACAAAGAAACATAAATGACCCAAAAAGTCAACCAATAAACACATTTACAGCATAATACTCCACATAAGAATATAAATCACTGATCTTAGAAACAAAACAAAGGGTTAAACATGACAAACGATAATTAGTAAAATGACAGAAGGCTCATTTAAAAGAAATTAGTTATAAATTCCATTAGAAAGTTTTACAAAAACACAAAATGTTTATGTGAAAGAGCCAAAAACAGATATGGAAGCGTTGAAGATCAAGATACATCATTTAGTCAAGAATAGAGATAAACGATGAACACATCAATGCATGAATAATCAAAATGAACTCACTTAATACACATTATTCTGTACAATGAGTACTTTGAGTGCTTTTAGTTTGTAAAGTAGTATCTTTGTGCTGCTTTTACGTTTCGGTGACGTGTTCTCCAGTGATTCGTCTTCCTCTCACCTCCATCAGGTCGGGCAGCTCGTCGTGAAGAAGATCCTTCAGCTCGCTCTTCTTCAGCTTGTGTCTGTCTCCTTCGCGCTCCGAGTACTTCTGGAACACGGCGATGATGGTCGCCATCGAGGTCTCCAGGTCGCTCATCGTCTTCAGGTCGCTGCTTTCTTTAACGATGGCGACAAAGCATTAAGAAAAGGCCCCAAACCTCCTTTTAGCTCCTTCACTTCTCAGCTGGCCGGTGTCTTACCTCAGAGGGGGCTGATGGTGAGGATGAGGATGGACGGAGGGGGGGGGGGGGCTTTATAGGGCAGCAGGGCGGGGGGGGGGACCGCCGACCAATCCGGTCAGTGCCCGTCCCCTCACTCCACCGGCTGGTCCACTCAGACAATCGCACCAAACAAAGTAGCTCCTCCGACTTCAATCTGCATGAATATTCTGCTTTTATGAAAGAAACACTTATTGTTATTGTATCAGTATTTAAAAAACGAATCCTGCTGCTTTTCTAGTACAGCAGTAGTATACTAGTAGTATACAGTAGTACTGTACCGCAACCCAGAGAGAAATACTTGTGCATTTGAGAGCTTTTGCAATAATATTTTTAATGGAAAGGTGATGAGAGGAGCTACAATGATCTGTATTTAATGAGACCTGGACCCTGACTCTTCTCCTCCTTCAGATGAGTTCCTCTGCAGGAACCACACGATACACCACAGCTTCTTCCCCAGCGGAGACGTTGGTGGGACGCCGAGGGCTCCGCCTGGACCTCCGCCTGGACCTCCGCCCGGACCTCCGCCCCGGAGCCGCTGCGCCCGCCGGGACACAAAGGCCCGTTTCAGAGGAAGCGGCGGGCCCTGCATGTTAATGAAGACGGCCTTTTCACTTGGCCAGACGTGTGACCTCCACATGTTTCCACAGACGTCCCGAGGTCCTCTGCTCATGACGGACTTCAGAGAGGAAGCAAGTTCTGCTTCTTCACACTGAAACACGAGGAGATCCGAAGCTGCTGGAACATAAAGACATAACGTGACGTTCTGACATTACATCTTTGTTCCCCCGCTGACCTCCCTGACCTTTGACCTCCTCCCTTTGTGTCTTCAGTCAGAACCGACCCGTTTCCTACAGGATGAACTGCGTCTTTGTCTCGGTGATAAATGAACTCCTCACGCGGACGCCGTCCGATTGTTTGCTTCAAACACTGAAACTCTGTGAGGAGGAAACGTCGTCGCTCGTCTGTTATTCGTCACGAGGGACAACTCGCTCATTTCAGGTAGAGAAGCAGTGAATGTTTGACAGGATGTCATCTTTTGGACATTGTTTTAACCTGTTGTCTCAAATTATATTTTGAATAAATATAAAAAATACACAAATAAAGAAATATAAATGAAGTAATATTAACAACAATGAGCTTTTAAGTGATGGATGTAGTTATTTGGATGTCATGTTACATTTCGTGACATTTATTTAAAGAAGAAAAGCAGCAGCCAGTCTTTCTCCTCTGTTGTGTCTCTGTTAAGTTTCTGGTTTGTCTCCTGGGAGACGGCGTCCTCAGATGGAGGACCGCGGGGACTCGTCGCCTAGGCAACGCGTGAAAAGGCTCTGCGGGCCGCTGAGTCATCACCTGGCAGGCGGCCTTAACCCGAAGCTTACAAACACTCGGCTTTGTGGCCTTTCTCATTTAGTCGCACTAGTCACATTTTGTGTTCTTTTTTAATGTTTGTGTCTCTTTTATTATACTTAAAGAAGTTGCTGCGTTCACCATCGACCTTCCGTAACCTCTGACCCTTTTTTGATATCCAACCCGTTTGTCTTGACGCGAGGAGAGGAGGTGAGGAGGTGAGGAAGAGGAGTCCGTGAGGAGGCACCAGTCCGTGGGAGAAACAAACGAGGTGAGCAAACGTCACCTGCAGTTCTCACCATGAACCTGAAGATGGCAGCAGTGCATCATCTGGTATTTAAACCACAACTTTCCCTCTTTGGATTCAGTATTTCTGCAGCTCATCGTCCCGTTTCAATGCACATGATCTGAAACATCAATCCTGGCTGACACAGACGAACAAACGTTACTCACGAGTGGAACCAGCAGCCTTGACTGATCTGTTTTTCCACAGTTAAGAGAAAAGATGCATCAGCAGATTTCAGTCCCACTTTGCTGCACAAAGAAAACAAATAAAAACTCCAAACATGGAGGAAGACGAGCTTCATGTCTTTGAACCCGCCGCTGCAGAGTGGCCGTCTCATGTCTCATCTAATCCCATAATCCTCTCCTGTCACCACTCTCGCCCCCCCACCCATGGGATTGGAAGCCACGCGGCCTACCTGGGGACCCACTTCCCGTTTCTCCGTGCGACACCTCCGGCTTCCTGCCCGCCACCGTCCGTCATCCCTCGGTCAGGCGCCGAGGCGAACAGTTCATCGTGATCGGTGAAAACCTCGAGTCCCCAGTGAGGAAAAGCGAGGGGGGGGGGGCAGAGAGCTGTCGGATCAGGACCAACAATCCACCTCCATCTGTCTTTGTCTCCGTTGGGTGTCAGAGTCCAGTCAAGTGGCGAGCGGCCCAGCGTGACAGCGACCGCACGGAGCTAATCCCCCCCTCACCCCCCACAGAGAAACACAACACCATATGGTGAACGCCAAACCGGTCATAACAGCGAGGCTTCAAACCCGGAGACATGCGGATTGGATTAAAGGCGTCCTCACTCCCATTAAGATGTTATAAATCATTAATAAAATCAAAGCATTAACTGTAAATGAATAAATCTGCACGCTTTATTTTCTCTCTCATGACTAATTTTACATTAAGTGGCAGATTGATTCCTCCATTAGTAACTGGAGGCTACTGAGGTCCGTTCATTGATGTCAGGTGACCCTCCAGTGACAGGAAGTGGTCATCAAACGCCTGCAGCAGCAACCGCAGAGCTCATGGTGAAAACAGGGATTAAAAACAACCCGATTATCCACCGGGAGCCACTCTCACATCCTGATCCTCAGGAGCCACCGACGCTTCGTTCTCAGCGTCTCGCCTTCCTTTCTAATGGAACATAACGTGCATTGGTCAGCCGCGCTGCTCCCTCGGCGAGGGGAACCATGACACGCGACCAGCTCGCCCAGCAGAGGACATTCATACCTCTCAGGCCCCTCAAAACCCCCGCTGGTTTCTCTCACGCGAGTCGAGCTCCATGACTCGTTTAGTCACCAACAATGCTTCATGGGAGGTCATCATTTCCATGGCTGCACTGACCTGTGAGGCCAAAGGGTTCATTCTGAGCGCTGATGGGAGGGATGTGCTCGTTCAACGAGAAGCAGCTGGTTTGGTGTTTTTCGTCCTCCTGCAGCGCCGCTCTGCTAAAACTAGGAGAGCGAGAAGCTTCTGATTGACGGGCTGCAGGTCCCCTTTGTAGATGAGCGCAATTCAGAGGCTTTTTTGTGCCTCTTTTCTTTGTGCACGTTTGTGTAAAGCTTCGCGCGTCTCGTTGTTAAAGGGCAGCAGCGTAAATGCGTCTCCCGTGATTCACACATTTCAATTAATTGGACGTGTGTTAATGAAGACATTCTCAACCTTTTCAAAGTCCCCCCAGGCGCTCCAGACGGACGGCTTTTGTTTCCATGGGGACCCCGTGGACAGAGGGGTTTGTGGGTAAATGCTGAAGTGGGCGACAGCGTCGACATGTTCAGCCCTCAGACTGGGGGGGCTTCCCATTTAAACACATGCACCTCAAAGTAGTAGAGCAGTAAAACTTGTTTTTAATGTTTTTTCTCCTGCTAGGACAAAATAAACAGTTTCCTGGCAGCTAAAGGGTCAAATAAAAGTCGTGCTCACCCTCAGCTGATTCACCACATTTCAGGAGCCTCGTCCCACTGCAGCGCTGAAGAAGACGAAACATTGTCCTGGCCGAGGAGCCTCGAGGTGCAGATGAAGTCCACAGAAAGAATTCTCTTCATGCAGGACACAAATGCTCTGTTAGACCTTTGACCTTTGCACCAATGCTGAGGTTGTTCGACGTGTTTTTGCCCTCACTTTTACCCATTTAGGTAAGATTTGTATCTTGATCAATGCAACGTGTTGATTTGAAAGCAATCCGATCATTAAACGCATCTGATTAAAAAGAACGGTGCTAATTTCACCTGCTCATAGCAGCCTTTCTACAAATGATGCAAATAACTCAAATGCTCCACTGCTCCTCAGCTCGAGGTGGATTCAAAGAGCAGGAACATTCCCACCACCTCTGCAGGACGTCCTGCAGTTACATCCAGGCCTCCTGATGAATTCCTGCCGTCTCTTCTCACGTTGTTCTGATGCAAAGCGAGCCGGGCCGATGGCGAGGGTCCTCGATGGAGCGCTGAATGGAAGCGCTGCTTTTCAGACCCATTGAGGCGGATGAATGGACGCGTAGAATCCAGGCTGAGGCTGAACCGGCGCTCGGCGTTTCGCGCCGCGCACAAAGCCGTCTGCATTCCACGCTGCACCTCTTTGTCTTATTCACTGAAACTCCATCCGTGTGCAAACACTCAGACCCCCCCAGGATGGCAGACGTGAAGCTTCCTTCAGGGGAACGTGGATGAGACCAGCTCATCCTGCAGGGACACATGATGGGAATCTTCTTGTGATGAAAACATGACAGAAGCAGCCATCAGCGCGTGTTGCTCTTGTAGCAGAGAACAGCGGACGGGTTCTCAGCTTCTCCCGGTCGTTGCGTTCGAGTCTCCATATTTCTCTTTGCTTGTTTGCTTTTGTCGAGTCGTTGTGGTTCCGGAAGCTTACATGACGTCTTCTTGCAATAAAAGTGTTTAAATCATTTTTAAATGTGAATTTCAAATCCTTCTTACACAACTTTTTGAAATAAATCTCCTCTTATAGTTATTACTAATTAAATAATAGTTTATTTTTGTGTGAAAGTGGCACAAAATGTGAACGTGGGCCTTTACTCCATCCTTGAAAGTACAATATGCAAACTGTGTGTGTGTGTGTGTGTGTGTGTGTGTGTGTGCGTGGCCACGCCCCCTCCCAGTGACGCCACACGTCCATCACAGCAGCGTCCTCCGGCGCTCCGGCGGACCGCGCAGAGACCGACGTGAAGCGGCGTGTGTGCGCGCGTCTGTCCGCGTTCGCATGAACCTTTAACGGAGGATCGTAAATATTATCACAAGTCTTTTATTACTTGTGTTTCTTTGTGTGGAGCTTCAAGGCGAAAGAGAAGAGGAAGAAATTAACCCGCATCAGCTCGTCGCGCACCTGATCGGAGCGTCCGGCGTCCGGCGTCCGGCCAGCAGGAGGTCAGTGTCCGCCTCCCCCGTCAGCTTCTAAACCTCCTCTTCATGCATGTTGTTCACCAATCAATCATCAATCTGAACAATATTTATTTGATATTTCAATATTTTCTGTCTCTGTTGTGATTCTAAATTGTCTTCTTTAGTACAAACTATCAATTCAACCGTTATACTTTTTAAACTATTTCAGGACCTTCAGTGATTTTACACATTGATCTAATGGTGTTTTGTGTTTCTTACTTATTTTTGACTGTTTTGTGTCTGTTTTTCTTTTGTTACTGTGTCCGTCCAAACAATTCATGGATTAAATTAAAAGCTTTTCTGCCACTTTTAACGGTTCATTAAATCAGTTGTAAAACATACTTATTAGAATATATGACACAGAAAGCTTAAGCAGCAACGGAGAGACAATTAGCTCCATATTGTCCCGTGTGCGCACGCCTCCGCAGCCCTGCCAATAAGGTCATCTGATAAGCTGAAAATCCCCCCCCCCCCTTCCTCATCCTCCCTTTGTGTCTCCTCCTGCTCTTCCTCCCTCCTCTTCCTCTCCCTTTCTGCTGCCTCCTCATCTCTTCACTTCTCTCCCTTTTTATCTCTCCTCCTCACTTTTATGTGTATGTCCTCCTCTCTTCTTCCTCCTTCTCTTCTCCTCCTATCGACCCCCCCTGGGCTAAGCCTGAAAACTAGCATGTCATCGTTTTCTAACACCCTGAGAAGGTGCGCTCCATTTTGTAATTAATGGCTGCTCAGCACACACACACACACACACACACACTCATTAGCTCGCATGCATGCACGAACACGCACAAACACACGCACAAGTTGGCACACAATCGTGCAGGTGTGTATTCTTGAATCACCACTTTGTCCCTCAGACACCTTTTGCATTGATGCACAACTCGTCAATCAATCACATGTTGATCACATTATTAAAGAACTTTACTACTTTTAAAGAGAAAGGCTCAATTCCTTCAGCCGCATTTCTGGACATCCAGTTTGTTTGCTAGGGAGTGAATCTGCTTTGCAAGGACTTAAAATATGACCCTCACTTCATATTAACTTGAATAAATACTTTCAAACGGTATCATGAACCTGCGATATAAACTCAAACCTATTTTCATGGACACTCAGACTCATGATTCATACGTTGTTAATTCCTTATGAATCAAACGGCAGCACCGGGGGGGTTGTGGTGAGCGGAGCGCAGCGGCCTGATGGACCCGACCGCGTGCCGGGATTCATTTGTTCATTCCTGCTGGTCCAGAATGAAAGAGGAGACGTGTCAGACTCGTGGGAGCGGCTCTCTCTTCATCCTTCATGAATTTAAAGCTGCTAATGAATCACACATTTATTCATCCTTCGCTATCGCGCTCAGGGTCATTTCTTTAGTCTGCTGGTCGGAGACAGACAGAGACCCCAGGACATAAACACATGCAGCATGCAGCGCCTTCAATATTCCTCCCTGAGGGGACTCGTGGCCTCGGCTCCTACTTCTGGATTTGTACAACAAGCTAAGGGGCCTTTAAAGTTGTGTTCATCCCACTTTACTAAACGGATAGCGATGAATCACACTCAGCCCTTCAGCCTCCTCCTTTGATCTGGGATTACGCCGCCCGTTTGAACGCTTCCACGGGGAATTCAACAAGTTTGGACGTGACAGACTGCTGGTGAAGTTCTCCACACCGACAGCTGTAATCTGCCTAATTTAAACAGGAGGAGAGATAAACTCTCATCCCGCACATGGCAGCTGGATGTGGTTACCATAGTGACGTTCATCCCGGGATTAGGGCCGGACCACTCTTGGCTAATTAAACCTTCAATTCAACTGAAATGAGTTAATAACGAGGAGTGTTTTGCAGTCTCTTATATGCAAACATCTCGCTTGTTGTGTGAAAAAGAAGCCTGCAGCTGGTGAATGGAGTCACTTTGTTCCTCCGGTCCCTTGTGAAAAGCACTGATATTTGTCCACCTTATTTTCCGCTGCTGCAGCTTTGACCTCTGAGGCCTTTTACTGTGTCAACGGTCTGCAAAACGGGCCTTTAGCTTCGGCCAGACGGCCGCAGCCTGACGCGCTTCGCTTCTGTCTCCTCCAGATGAAACGCTGCCGATGAACGCATCGTGTTTGGAGCTCCGGCCATGGCTGCCCATCGCATCATCAGAGCGACGAGCAGCAACCACGTCCTCCCTCGCTGCAAGTCTGAGGGGACGCTCATCGACCTCGGCGAGGGGGTCACGGGGGCCGGCCTCAACGATGTCAAAGGTCGCTGTTTCACTGAATTCACACACTTTGATTGATAACGTCTCTCGCATCTCTTCTTCTGATTCCGTGTACTTCCTCGGCGATGTGATGGTGACGCCGTTGTTTTCCTCCGGCTCTTTTGCTTCACTGGTTGCACTTCGTTACAGCAATGTTTACATGCTCTATATACGCTAATGGCACGAACTAAAAATAGAACATTATGCAGTGAATTATGCAGTTTGTCCGCTCAAACGTCTCCTCAGTGGTCTTAACATTTTGTTGTTGCTTCTAGGATTATCAAAGATCGTTTTCAGGGCTATCGGGCTGCTCTCCTTACTTTTCTTTCTAGAATCGAGGACATCTTGTAAGGTCCAAAGAAGACCCGCTGTAGTGCCATCAACTCATTATTCCAACTGACCCGCATTACGTGTCTGATTATGCTGCAGTATTTTTGAGTAATCAGCCGTTGATTGATTACAGGAAGGGCCCTGATCTAAACTAGTGAACAACCAGTAACAGAACCACTTTGCAATCAGGGGCTGAGGACCAGCGCCAGTTCCAATAGATTCCCTGACATCTATTTCCTTTTCAGTGCCTTCTCCCAGTGCCTTGAGGCTGGACACGTCGGCGTCCTATGGAGACGCGCAGGAAGTGGTCGCCATAAAGGATTACTGCCCCAGCAGCTTCACCACGCTGAAGTTCGCCAAAGGCGATCGGCTGTACGTGTTGGACACGTCGGGAGGAGAGTGGTGGTACGCCCACAACCACACGGAAATGGGCTACATCCCAGCCGCCTACGTCCAGCCGGTCGACTTCAGGAACTCCTCGCTTAGCGACAGCGGGGTGATTGACAGTCTCGGGGAAGGCTACGAGGACTGGTCAAAGGAGTTCGGAGGCATGGGGGAGTGGACAGGGACGAGCCTGAAGCCCTCGCCAATCTACAACAACAGCCCCCTACCTGCGAACCCCTTTACACGCCAGTTAGATCTCAACTGCGAAGATTTAAGTTTGAGGAACTCAAACCTCATTATGTTTGATGCACTTGCATCTCCATCGTCTTGCTCAAGCTTTAACCCCAATACAGTCTTGACCAACGGGTTTAGCAGCTGCCACATTAACAGCACCACCCCGACTAGCCCAAACCAAGAGGTTGCACCTGGCATCCACAGGGATAACCCGTTTTTCCGGAGTAAACGTTCCCACAGTCTCTCAGAACTGTCAGTACTGCAGGCGCAGTCAAATCCAATGTTACCTTCATCGGGGTTCTTCACAGGCCTCAAGGCTCCTTCACCAGAGCAGTTTCAGAGCAGGGAGGACTTCAGGACTGCATGGTTGAACCACAGAAAGCTAGCCAGGTCTTGCCATGATCTTGACTCCCTGGGCCAGAGTCCCGGATGGGGTCAAACACAGCCGGTGGAGACCAACATCGTTTGCAGGCTGGACAGCAACGGAGGAGTCGTTCAGCTTCCAGACACACAAATCAGCATCCACATCCCAGAGGGCCACGTCAGCCAAGGAGACCACCAGCAGATCTCCATGAAAGCCTTACTAGACCCTCCCCTGGAGCTCAACAGCGACCACTGCTCCTCTGTCAGCCCCGTGGTGGAGATCAAGCTGAGCAACATGGAGATCAAGTCCTTCATCACGTTGGAGATGAAGGTGCTGGTTTCTGTTAAGAAGGACAGTCGTCACACTGCAAAGGTGCTTTGCGTTCGAAGTGATTGTAAAGAAGGGCCTTACGCGCCCATCCCTAATGCTTACCTCTACAGTGACACAGTCCAGGTGCAGCTGGACAGTCTAGAGCCTTGCATGTACGTGGCTGTTGTGGTTCAGTCGGAGTACATCAGCCACAATACCACCGTTTGGGACCATGTGCAGAGGAAAGTGACCCTAGGCGTCTACGGGCCCAAGCACATTCACCCCTCCTTCAAGACCGTCGTGGCCATGTTCGGCCACGACTGCGCCCCAAGTACCTTGTTGGTCAACGAGGTGGGCCGGCAGGCGAGCTCCAGCCCGCCGGTGGCCCTGCAGCTGTGGGGGAAGCACCAGTTTCTGCTGGGCTTCGCCCAGGACCTCCTGGTGGGTTTGTACTCCAACATGTCCAACTACCATGTGAGGGCGAACGAGGGTGCCGGCGTGATTCGGGGATTTCAGATCAAACTTGGGAAAGTCAGCCGGCTCCTGTACATGATCACGTCGCAAGACCCTGACGGCCTTTCGGACTTTACTCTCAGGGTCCAGGTCAAGGACGCCCTCGGCTGCATCCTCACCCAGTTCTGCGTGCAAACGCCACCGCCGCCAACCAGTGGAGCGAGGATGACAGGCCAGCGGAGGTTCCTGAAAAGGAAAGAGGTGGATAAGATCGTCCTCTCGCCGCTGGCCGCCTCTTCCATAAGTCCAAAGTTCCAGGACCGTTGCGTCACAAACCTTAAATTCGGCAAGTTGATCAAAACGGTGATCAGGCAACACAAGAGCACGTATCTGCTGGAGTACAAAAAGGGGGACGTCATCGCTTTGCTCAGCGAGGAGAAAATCAAACTGCGAGGCCAGCTTCGGACCAAAGAGTGGTACATTGGATACTATCAAGGGACGGTGGGGCTCGTCCACGCCAAGAACGTTTTAGTTCTGGGCAAGGTCAAGCCCATTTATTGGGTCGGGCCGGACCTGACCACCACGATCCTGCTGGAGCAGATCTTGAAGCCTTGCAAATTTCTCACGTACATCTACGCCACAGTGAGGACGGTTTTAATGGAGAATGTGGGCAGCTGGAGGGCGTTCGCGGACGCCCTGGGAAACGAAAATCTGCCAATGAGTTACTTCTGCCGGACGGAGCTGGACAACGAGGCGGAGAAGGTCGCTTCGGTTTTGGAGAAACTCAAAGAGGATTGTACGAACGTGGAGAACAAGGAGAGGAAGTCCTTCCAGAGGGAACTCATGATGGTGAGAACGGTCACATTTTTGTCGCAGCATTTTGATGTCTTCAGATCGCTTGTTTTAGCTGATTGACATCCCAAAACCCCCAAATACTAAATTTGAGGATGAAAGAACTTGACAGCTCGCTGGTAGTGCTCGGTTTTTTGTCTGTGCATTCTGATGAAGGTTATAGACAAATTCACAGTCACTGATCTGCCCTTGAAGGGAGGAATAATAAGGTCCTTTGTCCTTGTCACATGGCTGCAGAACCCGTCGAGCTTTAATGTAACTCTAGTACAAAGGCTGTTACGTCCGAAAGGTGTATAATGCAAAGAAGAGAAGCTGCCGCATTAGTTCAGCTTTGTTGAGGTTAAAACAACAGGAATGTAATTCCCTAAAACCACCAAAATGCATTTCCCTCGAGCTTGAGTCCTTTAGCTCAGTCACATGGTAAACAACGTGTGCGACAGCCTTAGGAGGCCGGCAGCCCCCCGTGAGAAGTAAAAGGAAGGGAGGGGTTTCTCCTCCGGCACCCCGCAGGGAGCGGAACAGTCCCGAGACATTTCCCCTCGCCAGACACCGTTATTCAAAAAGCACTTTGGCAAAATACTTTCTCCAAACTGAAGGAGCATCTGGCGGTAAAGTGTCTCGCTCAATGGGACAGTAGCTGTGAAGAAGTATTGTTGCATGTTATCCAGAGAAACTCACCTGCAAATACTGTTCTCAGTCTGGCTGCAGGTCGTGTGCCCTAACGAGACACGCTTTTATGTTTCCTGAAAGGCTTTTATTCTGGCGGGTATACCTTCAACTCCTGCTGAGGCTTTTAAACCCACTGTGTGCACACAGCTTTCTTATCTCTGTACCTCCATCTTTGGACCCCTCTGATGTCCTTACTTATTCATATTTACTGAAACCATCACACACTCCGATGTCCTGCACAGAAACGGGCGATTCTCTTTTGAAGTCGAAGACACTTTCATCCTCAAGGACCAAATGTGTTCCTTGGTCCTTGATGGAAAGGTTTGTCCACGGGCGTCGCAGCGCTTTGACTGCAGTTTGCTGTTAACCTCGGATACCAGAGGCGACAGACTCTTTCTCAACGGAGAAAAACCTTTCATTTTATTTTAGCGATTCGGAAAACACATTTGGTGAAACTTCAAACATCAGGTCAATATTCTTTTCATCATTTAATAGTTCCTGCTTCTCTCCTCTGTAGATTTGCTGCTTTTTCTCGACTTGAGTGACATTCATTCATTTATAGTTCTGACGATAAACTTTTTACCCATGTGACCTTTGCAGAGCTTTGCTCACTGTGCATCGTTATTCCTCTCAGTGCAAAAGGAGAAGCAATATTTAAAAAGATCAGGATGTGTGTAAACATTTTCCCCAGAGAGTAATTGTCACCAAGCTACAGGGACGAGGTCCAGTGAGTCACTCGGGCTTTAAGTTACTAAACGTTCTCCTCGATGGGAGAAAAAGCCTTTCTTGTATAACCGTTACTCAATAAAACATTTCTACTTTCAGAACCTCTGGCTACAAAATCCTCGATTAGCAAACAAGCCATTCATTCTCTAAATAATGAGGCTTTTATCCAGCCAAGAGCTGCTCCTTTTCAGGACAAAAATACACATAAATATGTGGAATGTTCAAAATAGAAGTGTCTTATTCGAGCGCCACAAAGAAACCCTGTGGGTGGAGTAGGTCCTCACCCGTTGCGTATGCACGATTGGCTGGTAGGAATGAGGTGCAGGGAAAGGATGCAATATGCATCGGGAATCGATGAGGAGCGTAAAGTGGAAGTCGCCATGGGGAGAATGCCGGGGATTGAGGAGGATTGAAGTGGGGGCAGTGTCTCGAGGAGAAAGCCTCATTTCCCCCCCTGTGGCTTCTGTAATGAGAGAGGAAATGGGCCCGCTGGGAGCGATGAACTGAAGCGGAACAGAAAGAGTTTAGAAACATTTCTGAACACGGTTTTGTCTTTGATTCTCCGCCTCATTGCCCCGACTTTACTCAAATAAACAGTCCAGAGGTGAGCTTAGCATAGAGAGAAGCAAAGAAAAAGCCTTCGGCGTAGCATTTTCATAGCAGAGGTCTCTTTATGATTAAGATTCAGCTTTATCGTCATTGCACAGAGTAACATCTAACCAGAAGTGCAACAGAGCAGATAAAGTGCCAAGTATATCTATGTGGTATATTTAAATAAGAGAATATGTACTTGTAGTCGGTGACGGCCTCAATGCTTTGCCACATGCCGCTCTTGAAGTGCTGCTGGATCATCTGCTCGGCCTTTTTGATGCCTGGGATGAGCTGTAGTCCTGAGCATCATCTGAAAGCAGTGTCACGTGCCTTCAACAGGAGGCCTCTGGTTGTGGTGACACTGTCGACATGCTGTTGATACAGTCCAGAACAGAGGAGGCAAAGGCGTTGATGTCGGTGTGGGAGTCCGGTGGGTGTAGGCGTTACGCCATGTTGGTGTAAACGTGATCCAAAGTCTTATCGTGGGGAAGGAGACATGCTGGTGGAATTTGTACAGTCTTCAGGTTTGAGTGGTTGAAGTCACCCACAAGTCACTGATGGCAGCATGCAGTTCTGCAGGAGGACACTGAGCCTTGCACAGTGTGCAAAAGTGTATCACTTTGTCACGTTTTTTATTGATCCAGTTGTAGCAGCTTCTACTCGAGTGGAGGATTTTCCACATGAAAGATGTCCACTTCTATTTCATTTGTCTCCTGAGGTGTTTTAGCTCGGTGTGCAGAAATATCTTTGTGTTTCCAGCAGTAGTTATCGAGCTGCAGCATAAACAATAAAAGCCAAAATTCTTGCTTCCCTGAAAGTGGAAGCTGAAACCCGACCCTCTTTGATCACAGGTCTGGGTCGTGTGAAGCAGCAGCAACAAGCGCTCCCCTTAAGACCTTTAGTCTCTCCTTAAGTCTCCCCTTAAGTCTCCCCTTTAGTCTCTCCTTTAGTCTCTCCTTAAGTCTCCCCTTTAGTCTCCCCTTTAGTCTCTCCTTAAGTCTCCCCTTTAGTCTCTCCTTAAGTCTCCCCTTTAGTCTCTCCTTAAGTCTCCCCCTAAGTCTCCCCTTAAGTCTCCCCCTAAGTCTCCCCTTTAGTCTCCCCTTTAGTCTCCCCTTTAATCTCTCCTTAAGTCTCCCCCTTAAGTTTCCCCTTTAGTCTCTCCTTAAGTCTCCCCTTAAGTCTCCCCTTAAGTCTCTCCTTAAGTCTCCCCTTAAGTCTCCCCTTTAGTATCCCCTTTAGTCTCCCCCTTTAGTCTCCCCTTAAGTCTCCCCTTTAGTCTCCCCTTTAGTCTCCCCTTTAGTCTCCCCTTTAGTCTCCCCTTAAGTCTCCCCTTAAGTCTCCCCTTAAGTCTCCCCTTTAGTCTCCCCTTAAGTCTCCCCTTAAGTCTCCCCTTTAGTATCCCCTTAAGTATCCCCTTAAGTATCCCCTTAAGTCTCTCCTTAAGTCTCCCCTTTAGTATCCCCTTTAGTATCCCCTTAAGTATCCCCTTAAGTATCCCCTTGAGTATCCCCTTAAGTATCCCCTTTAGTATCCCCTTAAGTCTCCCCTTAAGTCTCCCCTTAAGTATCCCCTTAAGTATCCCCTTTAGTCTCCCCTTAAGTCTCCTCTTCCTTTGACCACACCAGGTGACAGGTGTCCTCATGAAATGTGAGCACACATTGATCAGGACGGATCTGGAGGACGGGGGGGAGTCCGGGGGGGCTCTGTGTTGGGGGGGGGGCGGGGGGGCATCCGATATCGCAGATCATTTAACGCAGAGGCTCGAGTTACGGAGGCAGAGGACGAACGCGAGAGCCGGGAGACGGTTGTTAAATTATGGATGGGTGCAGGGAGGAGGGGAGCAGCACCCCTGGTTGTGGACTCCAGACTTAGACCAAGGTCCCTCGTCCTCAGCGGGCTCGAGGAGAGTCTAGACTGCAGGACGTTCCTCCCGTCACTCAAGTGTTCTTTGTTCACGTGAAGCTCCTCTGATGTCGGTGCGAAAAAAATATCTTCTCCGGCTCGTTTTCAGGGAACTCCTTCCTATCGCGCCTTAATCCTGTTGTGTCTTCTGCACAACGAGCTCCTCCAGACGGCGGCGGACAAACCTTGACCCTAGATTTAGAATGAGCCCCGTGGCGAGGAAGAGGAGGGAGGAGGCTCCTGAATAAAAAAAGAACATAAGTAAAACAGATAAGAACGTTCCTTCATACCCCGCCAGGCGCTGCTGAAGATGGACTGCCAGGGTCTGGTGGCCCGGCTGGTCCTGGACTTCGTGCTGCTGACCACGGCGGTGGAGGTGGCGTTAAGGTGGAGGGAGCTGGCGGAGAAGCTGGCCCGAGTGTCCCGGCAGCAGATGGAGGCCTACGAGGCTCCGCACCGCGACCGGAACGGACTGCTGGACCACGAGGTGAGACATCTTCGCGTCCTGCCGGGACCACCAGGCCCGCCATTGATCCCCTCTCTCCTCCGCAGTCCATGTGGAAGCCGGCCTACGACTTCCTCCTGACGTGGGCGGCCCACGTCGGGGACAGCTACCGAGACGTGATCCAGGAGCTCCACCTGGGCCTGGACAAGATGAGGAACCCCATCACCAAGAGGTGGAAGCACCTGACCGGCACGCTGATCCTGGTCAACTGCTTGGACACGCTGCGCGGCGCCGCCTTCTGCCCCACCGGCTACGGAGACTTTGCCGTATGAGCTCGAGCGGGCCGGCTCTGGCATGTGACCTTTGACCTTGAAGTCCAGGGTGTCTTCCGGGTCACCTCTGCTAGCGTCTTTCTGTCCTCTGGTCTTTAAAGACTTTTAATGTACTTTGTGAGTCCAGTGTCTTCAACAACACGGCAGACCTCAAACCACAGCAGATCCGCACACGCTGTGAACTTTGACCTTTGAGTTGAGAGCGGATTTGACTCCCCGTGCAGACTGAGCTGAACCCACCAAAGGACTTTTTCTTTTACTGAGCAGGTGAGTGAATAAAGATGGAGACGGGAATTAGCCAAAAGCAGCTAGCGCAATGCTAACTTCCCACGTGAGTAAAGGCCCAGCACGTACATGACAAACACTTATTGTTTATACATACAGACAATGTTTTATCGACAGTATTATTCTCTCTTTTCTCATTTCCGTCCATATTTTAGTCAAATATCCGGATCAAGTTTACTTTTGAAGCATAAAAGTGCACCCAGTTTTCAAAATTCCCAAAACAAAGTTTTATCAAAGACGATGATGTGATGAAGACGTACTGTTTAGTTTCTGTGTGTTTTTGTTCAAAGTGCAGCATAAATATAATTATTTTTCCTGTGGTGCATTTTACTGGAAGGTCGGTATAGAATTAAATATCAAGCACGGTTCACTTCTCAAATAAATGACTCAAAACTGTGAAGAAATACCACGTTTTTGTTAAACGTATGTTGTTGTTGTTGATATGTGATGTCATCTTGTTTCTATTCGGCCTCTCATTCAGTGTTTGTTCCTGTTTTGTTTCATAATGTGCTCCCGTGTTTTTGGGCCATGTGAACTTTATGGAGTTTATATATTTATATACGCGTCTGTTTCTGTCCAGATAGTTTCAATAAAAATGAAAATTTAAAACAATGTGTATGTGCAGAAAATCCGATTTTATTTGATTAGACATTAAAACACTTTTGGAAAATCAAAACAGAGAAACAATCTACATTTCAGTCGTTGTATTGATTATTGTTTTTCCCTAGAATAGAATATTGTCTTATTCTTGATTCCAAACACAAACAACAGTGTTTATTGAGGTGATTTTAATGTTTTTATGGCTTGTCAAATAGTTTGATTATGTCATGTATGTTGTGGGTCCGGAGAATGTGAATATTGTGATTATATTCAAATAATAAATGAAATAATACATTTTTTTATTAAAACGTAGGTGCAATTTAGATCAATTAATCAGAGGCACAAGGCAATTCTATTTTTCATGGGAGGAACGTTTTTTTTATTTTTTTTATTTTCTAACCTCAAATAAGGAGAAGAATAAAAGGGACACAGTTGGTTCACGACAGCTCGTAAAGAACGTCGTCTTCTCCCGACCTCTCCCCACCCGGCTGTCTGTCACCTGAGGAGCTCGTCACAGCCGATGGTGGAGCAGGCTCTTGTTTTTATGGATGAGTGTGTGTGTGTGTCCAGTCAATGTAGGCTGAGGGAGCCGTGATGTGACTCGGGTTGTGTTGCTGTGTATTGGGTGAAACCCTGCGTGTCCCCTCAAGTTTCATCTTTCATTCTGGATCATCAGACCTCGTCTCAGGTCTGATTTGTGTACTTTGGAGCTCGGTGGGTAGTCTGCTGAGGTCACAAATGGAGACTTTGAATTATGGACGCGTCTATGTCCATCTTTGCTTTTTCCTCATTTGGATCAGTCGTGTTTTCAAAAAAACAACAAACAATGAACAATAAAGACGATTATAAACCATCTGCATGCAGCTCTGCTACATTATTCAACATTAATGCTACAATTATTGTTAGCAGATGCAGCAGGACGAACAGGGAGCTGCCAATCAAAGCGGGTCTCACCACGCCCACCACGTAATGAGAGGAAGTCCAATCAGCCGTGTGTGTGTGTGTGTGTGTGTGTTCAGCTCCATCTAGTGGTCAAACAAAGGTACTTCACTCATTAGATGATGGGATCGTTTTTAAAGCATTTTAGGATTTATTAAATGGCAGGATAAACATTTTTAGTAAATTAAATAACATTAAGTACCTCAGATTTGTACTGAAGTGTTTCTATGATTTAAAGTTGAACATTTTGAATCATTTTTCTGCTGTTGTCACGTGTCTGTGAACCAGGAATCAGGATTTCTGATTGTGTGTTTACTGGCTAGTAAAACCTGTAAATACGCTAGTAAATGAACTGCCTTCAAACTAAAGACACGTAAACAGCAACATGAAACAAGAAGATGTAAACCAATGAAATAAACAAAAAATAATAACTTGGTTCCAAATGTATTTTTTAAAAGTATATTTAGTGTAGTAGCCTATACGTAAGTGTAAAATACGAGTACCACTAATTAAGTACTATGCACCAATTCCGGCTGTGCAGATGCTTGTGGTGTGGTTGTGATGTGGTGGTGGAGTAAATCAACCACCCCTCCAAGGTGGGAAGTTCCCTCCGTGACTCACATCCTCCCCGGTCGTCCGGTGGAGTCACCGAGAGGGGAAGAAATCAGAGACGTCAAACCCACGTGAGCGTCTCGCGAGACGTTTCTCATCGTTACGGGAATATGAAAACACGCCGGTTGAATCATTCAACCTGCTGTGGAGCGTAAACGCGACGCCTCTTCTCATTTCCCATCATTATTTCGTCAGCTTCCAGGAGGCGTTTTAAGGTGTTGACTTTGCCCCCCTGTGGACGGACGTGGTAGCGCCTCCACGCGCCATTTCTATGTATTACTGAGACACACCGCGCTGCATTTTATCCTGCGGTGGTTTTTGGTTTCGAGAGAACCTAAAGAAAGAAAACCCAATTTCAACTTTTTAGGTTTCTCCTTGAAAGTCCTGGAAAAGTGTCGAAAAACTGAACACAAAGAAGAGATCTGGTTCTGAGGGGGACTGAGTTCATGAGAATCTGACATCACATCACACTGTGTGTGTGTGTGTGTGTGTGTGTGTGTGTGTGTGAGAGAGTCCAAGACACACACAGTCATTCACCACAAGTTGTGTGTGTGTGCGTGTAACAATAATCAACACCAGATGAGCAGAGAGGCCAGACGAGGTGTGTGTGTGTGTGTGTGTGTGTGTGTGTGTGTGTGTGTAAGTCTGGGACTGGCAGAGTCCAACTGGAGGTCCATTTCCCCAAAATCACACACACACACACACAGACACACATTGAGAGAGAGACTCACACACACACACACACACACACACACACACACATTGAGAGAGAGACACACTCACACACACACACACACAGACACACATTGAGAGAGAGACACACACACACAGACACACACACACACAGACACACATTGAGAGAGAGACTCACACACACACACACACACACACACATTGAGAGAGAGACACACACACACAGACACACATTGAGAGAGACACACACACACACACACACACACATTGAGAGAGAGACACACTCACTCACACACACACACACACACACACATTGAGAGAGAGACACACTCACACACACACACACACACATTGAGAGAGACACACACACACACAGACACACATTGAGAGAGAGACTCACACACACACACACACACACACACATTGAGAGAGAGACACACACACACAGACACACACACACAGACACACATTGAGAGAGAGACACACACACACACACACAGACACACATTGAGAGAGAGACTCACACACACACACACACATTGAGAGAGAGAGACAGAGAGACTCACACACACACACACACACACACATTGAGAGAGAGACACACACACAGACACACACAAGGTGAAGTCACCGTCTGTGGGGAGAACGAGGACCCGAGCGGCTCCGTCACACGAGGCTGAAACTAACTGCGCGTGTACATTTACTCAAGTACTACAACTTGAAGGTACTCGTACTCGATCATAGTATTTTATTACCACATTTATATGCAACATGTTTGCATACATTGAAGTATTGTATATGATGAAGTGTTTTACTACCCAGTAGAACATTTGTAAAAACCGTAATAATGTAATAAATAATAAATACTGTTTGGGCCGTTTGCCTCCTACATGTAATTCAGTATTTCGTAACTTCAGATGGTACTATTACTTAATGTAAAGAAGTATTTCTTTCACTACTGGTGCCTAAGTGCATTTCTTATAACCATATTGAATTACTTTATGTGTTGTTCATGGCACAATTTATTCAGATAAAAACAATATTGACTACTTTCCACATTTTTTATGAAGTATTCCCGCCTCTCTCTTATAATGATAATAACCAACAGGAATGATGACATTTAGTTATAGTCATGGTAATGGAGTTTTGGCTGGTGGTCTACAGGGAGTTTTTTGTTCTTTTTTTATGTTGGATTAAAAGTACTTTTCTTTTCTTTTCATTCCATCGTGCCTGAAAAACCCCAGAGTTGCTTTTCATGTCGAGTGAGTCATCAAAGAGGGAAAAATGCTCGGCTGGTCAGCGGGAGGATGATGGATGTCCAACTGTGAGAGACGCTTCTCTCCTCCAGGACGCTGTAAATTAAATCTTAAAAGTCTTCTTTTATAAAACATAGCAACCAAACACAGATTTGCATAACGGACATTAACGGAGAGAAAGGAGTCTGCGGCATCTTAGCAGGCGCTTCGAGCCAGCTGCTAGCATTGGAATGCTAACCACAGCGCCTGTTCACTATAACAGAGCAGGCTTCTTGGCAGTAAAAGAATCTGAAGGTCGTGAGTCAGAAGAAAGACACATCTGAGACATCGTTGGAGTTTAAAAAGGCGAAGTAGACACGTTATTGGGGTCAAAGCCGGCGGAAGGATGACGGAAACGTGATTGTTGTGTTCAGACACATCACGCTGTGCGAACACAAGAGATCTACTTTACCTCGCGATCGCTGCGACACCAACGACGATTTGTAAAAAAAAAAAATCCCAAACTGTAGGACGAGCCGCAGGTCGGACGCCTTCCTGCCGCGGGGAGGCGGCGGGCCAGCAGGCCCGTAATCGAGAGCGGCCGCAGCCTTTAATCACGTCGCCATCTCGTCCTCAGAGGCCCGCTGCTCGGGGCGACCGCCGTCCCGCTCGGGGGCGGAAAGCAGGAAGTGGATCAAAACAACTTCAGTCAGACAAGCGGCATGAATTTGTGTGATTTGAAGAAGCCAAACGTTGTAAAGTCAGTGTGGCGTCATCCTTTTGGGAAATGTTGAACCAGGGCTTGAATTTGTATTATGTGTGCTCATATTACTGCGAATTGTTGCATATTGCATTCATACTGTCAATAGATTAAAACAATCACTTTAGAAAGTGTGTATTTTAAACACTATTGTTTAGTTGTTAATGTCACTTTAAACACAAAACTACACATATTTGATCATCTTGGAGGCAGAATTCCAGTGATTGGAACTAACTCGTGCATGGAAGCAGCCTAGCAGCTAGCTTAGCATAGCAGCTAGCTTAGCATAGCAGTGGTCCGTTTGCCACCCACCCCCCTTCTGTTGGACACGTGGAGTAATTGCACAGCTCTCTGCTGTGTGTCGCGCCTCTGTTTGTTTTACTTCCAACGCAAAAAGCTCTCTGCATCAGGATGTAACTGCAGCTAGCGACGATTCAACAAACGAACGTTAACTACATACGTTAAAACCTTTTGTTGCATTGATCTCGGCCACATTAATCGCACAGATTAATGCATTAATGTAGACAGCCCTAATTTGTACGGTTTACTTCATCCAGGTGCGAGTAAACGGAGCTACCCGAAGCATCGACCAACCATGAAAGCATTAACTTGACCTATGACCTGTCGACCTGTCGCTGACGGAGCTTAGAACAACATGGTGGAGTTCACTAGCTGCAGAGCTCTGGAGCGTGTTTACTGCTGCGTAAAAGCCACCCCTGCATGTCGCAGTAAAACGCTGCAGCCTGGTTCGGTGCTGCTGGAGTCACAGTCCCGACCGCCGCCGCTAAATCGCCTCCTTTTAATTGAGGCAACGGCTCAGTTAAAAGCAGCAGCCGCTCGATCCACCTGCCGCCCTCCTGCCAGCGTTAAAGGAAGCCAGGGCCGAGGGTTCTGAGGCCGGAGGGCGGCAGGGCGCAGATAGCTGCCCTCGTTAACCTTAAAAAACGACGCGCTGCGGCAACGCAGAGGCCAAGCCTCCACCCGGCCTGGGACGGTGCGATATGCAAAGCGTTCCCGAAATGAGAGCTTTTTAATGAGAAGACTAACTATAGGCTTTATGTGAGCTGCTTTGCATTAGTCTGCAGGTGCTAACTGTAAACCGCTGTTTTATAGGGTCTAAACCAGGTTGCACTCGTAGACTACAAACCTCTCAATTCATGGTTTGTCTCCAACTTTCTGTATTCTATTATTTCTATTAATTGTTGCAATATTATCTTTCTAAATCCTGGTTCATTTTGAATAGAAATCCCCTGAAGCAAAGCTGCATCTGCAGCAAAGTGGAGCTGTAGTTCACTTTAAACCGGTTGGACTCAGTTTGGCAACATGCACCATTAAAACACTAGATGTATATTTGATTTGTATTTAATCTCAGATCCAAAGCAGCTCGGGGCGGGTTTGCACATTTGTTTCCCCGGCGTGCCGGAGCAAGTCGCTCCTCGAGAACAAAGCCCCAAGATGGCTGCATTGAATACACTGAACCAAACAGGGATCCTGGGAATGACCCCCGCGCCGCCGCTTCACCTCCACCCGGCTGAGTGCAGGAGGACACGTGACGCAGCGCCGAACCGTGGGCAAATATGTGCGTGCACTTTGGCTGTTACATCGCGTGATGGATGAGGCCTTTGTACAGAACGTTGTGAAGCAACATGAGGGGAAAGTGAACCCTCACCTGGAGCTAAACACCCACAGGGGGGCCGTCTGCGCAGCCAAACGGTCCCCCAAATGTCGCTCAGTGGAGGCGGACGTGTCCTGGTCCAGGGTCAGTGTCGGACTGGACCATCTAGGACTTTACAGCACCCGATTATTAACACAAAATATAAATCAACTAATGCATGAAGAAGCATAAACTAGTCCGCAGTTTATAAAGTAGAAATTGATACACAGGAACATTAAAGTGTTTAATGCATCAACAACTATAATCCTTCACAAGAAACTATTTCTCTTCATAAAATTATTATGAAGTATTATAATGGTCCTCATTGTTATCATAATCATCTTCAGCATCGATTGTTTATTATTATTGGCAGAAATAATATTAACTACTAATAAAGAAATAATAACATAGAAACTATTTAAACAAATAAAAAATACCATTTTTGTATACCCATTAAAAATGAATATAACTATTTTAATACTACTTATCTTCCAGTCAATTTAAAACAATTCGGCTCTCGCGTCACAGCCCTGCGGGGGGCGCGCCGCGGGAGCGCGCGGGAGCAGCAGCGCGGTCTCGTCACACCGCGGGGGGGGGAGAGGGGGGAGGGGGGGGCGCACCGGCGAGGACTTACGTAAAAACGCTTCCGACTCTTTAGCGTGTAAAAGTCACGGTATTCGGGAGTATCCGCGTGGAAGTACTTGTGCGCGTGGATTGTATAAGAACGACGTGGCGGTATTCAGCCGAGGAAAGTACACACGAGTAAGTACCAAAGTACACAAAGTGTTTCTCAGCTTTGGCCCGCGGACCGACCGAGGACCGGATTCTACCTTCTTTTTACGAACCGTGTGTGTCTGAGGATGTAGGTTCACCGGTCCGGCGCCGGTCACGAACCACCGGAATAAAGCGCCTTTTGCCGGACTTCGTTTGGACCCCGTGCGCGCGCGCGCGTCCACCATGCTCGCGAACACGACGCTGTACGCGGCGAAGAAACGCAAGAAGCCGGTGCAGAAGATGTGAGTATAACACTGTGAATAGTACGTAGGACGAGGTACAGAGTACACGCATGTACTACCGCCTGAAATACTCTCTATTCTCTGTGAGTCGTGTACTTCAGTGTACTTCACGCTGCTGTACGCGGGTCGATGCGTCCGTCATGGTTTATTGCAGGTTTTTATCTTTGTTCCTCCCAAAAGCCTGCGCGCGACATGGTGCGTACAGCTGTGCGCACATCTGGGCACGTCTGCGTGGTCCGCGGGGCGCGCGGCCAATGAGCTCCGGTTCCCCAAAGCGAGGTCCCGAAAGAGCCGTTTAAGTCTGATCCGCCACGTGACCCGCGGCTGCGCATGCGCACCGGAGGGCCTTCGGGTTGAGCGCTAAATCCCTTCATCGCGCTTACCGTCATGACGCCTGACCGCCGGCGACCCCGCGGGGGGCCCCGGGCCGCAGTTTGAGAAGCACTACTGCAGCGGTCCTTCTCCCGTGCATGGAGGTTCTGTAAGGAACCCATTGTGAACCCACACTCCCGACTCCTGCCTCTAAAGGTTCTGTAAGGAACTCGTAGAATGAGCCCATGTTCTCTAAGGAACCTTCTCAAGTGGTACCAACTGGACCCCTGATGGTGTCTCCTCAGAACTCATGGAGAGGGGTCTCAGAAGGTTCGCTGTGCACCTTGAGAGAGACGAAACGATACCACGAAGAACCAGCGGGTTCCTCTTAGAACCTTTGTGGTCCTTCGAGATCCTTCTCAGCGTTTCCAGTGGACCCACAGTGTGTGTGTGTGTGTGTGTGTGGTTCCACCTGCATTAATCACAATCAGGACGTGGAGCGAGAGCGCTCTCACGCAATGTTTCCACGGGGGAGGGGGGGAGGAGGGTGGAGGGTTCGGGTGGTGTAATCTGAGACGTGTTTTATTTTTCCTCCTCCGGCTTCCACAACATACTTCTCTTCTTCCCGTCGTTCCTTCTTTCTCTCTCTGGGTGTTTTTTCTGGTTTCTTCTGTTTCAGAAGCTCGGGGTTCCGTGAGCAGGAATGAACTCATACTATTATTATTGTATTATTATTATTATTATTAATCGAGGTCGCGTGCTGCAGCATTAAAATGACTCTTATTTTGAAGTCTAGAACGCGATCCCTGACACGGAATTAAATGTATATAATAAACTATCAGAATAAAGCGCTTACATGTGCTTTATTTGGGGGTCATGGTGGTTTGTCTTGTGACCGACACAGACGTGCTGTTCCTTCTGGTTTTATTTTGTAACTTTCTACTTCCTGTCTTTTGGTACACAGAGTAGCCGCAATCGAGTACCTTGATTGTTTAATAGCTTTATCGAAGATTCTTCTACCATGAGATGTGAAAAGAAGGATTTAAATGTGATGTAAAAGGCATCAAATGTCCGTGAAGCTTCGATCCTTTATTAATAATAAATTATGGAGTGCACACAGTCACACACTCATGTGCATTCTTGCATGTGAACATACACATGTACGTGTACACGGTGTCCTGCAGGCCGATGGGCAGATAAAAGCAGAAGCAGCAACCTGGCGCCCCGTTGTTCTGAGGAATGCAGCGATAGCGTCGTGCTTCTGCAGCATCATTGGAGACAGATGTCTTATTAACTGGGGGGGCAAAGTTTGCACATTTATGTTACGGTTCAGGCATTTCACTTTCAACAGTTAAAATCATCACAGCGCCGGATGCTGAGTGTTGTTAAGACTTATTTCACAGCACATTGGGATCTTTTTTACCTTCCTTAACTTGTGGTGTTTCGGCTTAGTTTCACATACTTTCTGTTGAAGCCAAGTGAGACATAAAGTACCTGTTGGACGCACAAAAGCCTTTTTTAAACTACATTTTAGTATTTCTCGTGGCTGTATTCCATGTGAATGAGACACGTTGTTTCTCTCACACTTCCTTCCTCAATGTGACGTCTTGTTCTCGTGCATTTATTCTTTTCTTCTCGTAAACGCTTACATGAGGATCCCGCAGATTAAAGCTGCACCGAGTGACACCTGACACCTCGTATCGCTGGCCGACGTGGAGGTCAAAGGTCGCGGGGCCTCTGCAGGTGCTCACGCACGAGCTCAGCCGACCCAAAGCGAGACCCCGGCGGGGCCACTGATCCCATTTGAACCAGCTGCTCCGCGCTGGCGGATCTGTGACCTGGAGGTCGCCGGCTCCAGTTGTTCCAACTAAATACGACTACATGTCCTTCACTGACATGCAGGCGTTACAGCTGGAAACCTCCTTATTTTGGGGGTCATCAACGACGGATCAGAGGTTCATCTCTGAGCTTTAGTGTGTTTCAGGCGGTGAGAGTCGACCCTCTGGGACAAGGAGCTCTGTAAATCCTCCTTCCTCTGCTTTAACGTGTCCTCCCTGCCTCCACAGACCCAAGCCGCCGCCCCCCAATGGCGCCAAGTCCAACCCGTCCAAGCGGCACCGCGACCGGCTCAACGGCGAGCTGGACAAGCTCACCGGCCTGCTGCCCTTCAGCGGCGAGGTGCGGGCTCGCCTGGACAAGCTGTCGGTGCTGCGCCTCAGCGTCGGGTACCTGAAGGTCAAAGGCTACTTCAACGGTGAGCGAGACTCCCCCGGGTCCTAAAGCACGCCGTCATAAGGTCCCCGCAGCTTTGCGGAGAGACAGGACGTGAGTGCGTGGCGTTACGGTTTTGTGTCTTCACCCGGCTCTGCGTTTAGTCCTCACCCGGCTCTCCGTTTAGTCCTCACCTGCCTCTCCGTTTAGTCCTCACCCGGCTCTCCGTTTAGTCCTCACCTGCCTCTCCGTTTAGTCCTCACCTGCCTCTCCATTTAGTCCTCACCCGGCTCTCCGTTTAGTCCTCACCCGGCTCTGCGTTTAGTTCTCACCTGGCTCTCCGTTTAGTCCTCACCCGGCTCTCCGTTTAGTCCTCACCTGGCTCTCCGTTTAGTCCTCACCTGGCTCTCCGTTTAGTCCTCACCCGGCTCTCCGTTTAGTCCTCACCCGGCTCTCCGTTTAGTCCTCACCCGGCTCTCCGTTTAGTCCTCACGGCTCTCTTTTGGAGCCTTTTCTGCTCCTTTCACGTCTCCTCTCGGCCGTAAAAAACTTAAAGGAAAAATATCATAATATTAAGCGTGATTCTGCTACAAATCATTATCTGACTGCAGCTTTGCCCCCAGCCAGTAATCCTCCTCCTGATTGCCTGGTTTATTATGACGGTTATTACAGAGAACACGTTCATCAATCAGACGTTAGCAGAGCTTAGCGAAGACGCCGTAGAGCCATTCGTACTCGTTCGTACCCTCATTACTGTTTATTAGAGCTTCTTTTACTAGGACACGTCTGCATGAGAGGAATCCAGAGAGCATTATGGGTATAAACTCGTTCATCTCCTGCTTCTTCCTCATCAATCTTAATTATCTTTTACAAAAACGCTGTTTTCCTGTGAGGTCATTTTTATATAATTACGTGAACTGTTATCTGTGCAAACCACATATTTCAATAAGACGTTAAGTTATAGTTCGCTCTCTTTGTGATGGGAAGTCTTCTTTGTTCGAGCAGCATTTAATACATTAAATATCAGTATAGAAAGATCTTAATAGAATCAAGCCTTAAAGAGAGATAAAAGGACACAAACAATAGTGAGAACAATAAAGTAAAAGCATCATGTCACTGAACTCCATAAAATGAGCTTTTACAAGGAGATTTTAGAAGGTGATGCTGATGCAACACAGCTGCTCCCGCCGAGTTCTGCAGGTTTCTCACCGCTTCCTCTCGTTTCCTCTCGAGCCGACTTAAGCTTCATTTGGTTTAAGAGTTTTAATAACTCTGCGTTCACACGTCATAGCAGCACGGTTATTAGAAATAATGAATAAATGAATAGAAATGAACATTTTAGTTGAATTTCCTCACCCGTGTTTTCTGCAGACGATGAAATAACGAAGCGTTTTATTAGAAGAGTTCAAGCTTCAAGGGCCTCAGATCCCAGTCTGGAAACTGGTCAACGATTTCTGTCTTACCTCAATTTAATTTAATTTAAACAAAAACTAACGGCCAATCAGAGCAGGTGGAAACTTTATCGGCCTGATAACGTGTGACGATGTGTACAAAGTCTTCTGTCATATATTAATATGTTTAAGCCGTCGTACGAGACCTCGTGGAATTAAAGCGGGAAGCTGCAGGTCAAACAACCAAAGATGGAGGAGGAGTTTATCCGCGGGACATGAAGACGTCCTCAGTGTCCCCTCAGTGCCAAACGCAGCAGAGGCAAAGAGGCTCATGGGAAGGCCGGGCGGGCTGAGAAAGGAGCGCTCTGTGAGCCGCTGGGAAACACCCGGCGGTTCGATCCCGTGGCCGAGGCGCACAGCGCCGCCATTGTTGCGTCTCTAACCGGGGGGAGGATGATCCCACAGACACACACACAGACACTCACACAGACACACACACACTCACACACACAGACACTCACACACACACACACACACAGACACACACCGACACTCACACACACACACAGACACACAAACACACACACACACAGACACTCACACACACAGACACTCACACACACACACAGACACACAAACACACACAGACACACACACACACACACAGACACTCACACACACACACAGACACACACACACACACAGACACTCACAGACACTCACACACACACACACACACACAGACACTCACACACACACACAGACACACAAACACACACAGACACACACACACACACCGACACTCACACACACACACAGACACACAAACACACACAGACACTCACAGACACTCACACACACACACACACACACCGACACTCACACACACACACAGACACACAAACACACACAGACACACACACACACACACACACACACACACACCGACACTCACACACACAAACACACACAGACACTCACACACACACAGACACTCACAGACACTCACACACACACACACAGACACTCACACACACAGACACTCACACACACACACAGACACACAAACACACACAGACACTCACAGACACTCACACACACACACACACACACACCCCTCGCCCCCCCTTGTTTTTCCAGATGTGTTTCCAGTCATCTTTCCTGACCTGTCTCATGGTCAAGGACAGAGGCAGGGTCAAAGGTCACGGGGTCACCGTGCTGTGAAGGGAATCAGCAAAAAAGTTGAACTTGATGTCCTGAAAAGCTCCATGAACGCTCGTCGCCGCACGCAGTCAAAACAAACTAGAAGTTTTTTAGGAGTTTTAAATATTTTGGGGATGAAAGAAGGAATTGATTCCATTATTCGGTTGATAATCTAATCTATGAAGGCCTTCTTTTGTCAGTCACAGAACAGAGAAGCTGTGTTCTTTTATTTGATAAATGACAGAAACAGTTGATTATCTGTTGATTAATTCAGCCTGACAGGTTAAAAGGGTTATAAAAGCTGAGCATGCGCTATAAAAATAACCACTAAACGTCACTATCATCAGATTCTCATTGTTCCTGCGGTCCATGAACACATCATGTGTGGCCAACAGCCTAAAATGGTCACTTGATTCCACATTTAAAGTCTCGCCACAAATAAACCGGTCGCTTTAACCAGATTCTGTAAAAAACATCCTCCTTGGAGAAACAAAGTTATCCGTCCAGTCAGCGAGAGGCTTTCTGTATTGTTGCATCCATCGTTTTTGGACTGAAGCCGGCGTATCTCAGTCAAGAGGAAGAGGACAGAGGAGGAGAGAACTGGTTGGTCCCAGAATCAATATTTCTATTGCAGCAGAGACAGAAAGTCCAACACACAAATCTTTTTGAAACGACAAACCCGTTCAGTCGACACGATAAAAAGAACAATAGGAGAGGACAGGGGGCGGGGCCTAAGCAAAAAACAGCCAATCGTAGAGCAGAAAACATGCACGCGATCAAAGATGGAGACGAGAGTAAGTTCTCTGAGAAATGACCTGCAGACGCTCAGCGTGGAGGACGGCAGTCAAAACACAGCAGACATGCCCAGACGTGTGTGTGTGTGTGTGTTTGTGTGTGTGTGTGTGTCTGTGTGTGTGTGTGTGTGTGTGTGTGTGTGCAAGAACAAACAGGTTGCATCTCACCCGCCTCTCTTTGTCTCCGGGATTCACTTTTGATCCGCCACCATTAACAGTTAAGTATTCTTTTATTTGGACAGAAGTCGGACACGTTGTCTGATTCCTGACGCGCGTCATGTGCTTTCCAACGCTGTGAAGAGAGGGAGAAATAAAAGTAGTCACATTATGGTACAGATTGCTCCATGTTTATTCACAATAACAGGCCGTTCCACAGAGACTGCTCTCCTTGCTGTCTCAGAGCAGCTCCACACTGCTAGAGCTCCTCTCTCTCCTCTGTCCTCGTCCTTCTGGACCTCTCTGCTGCATTTGACACAGTCAACCACCAGATCCTCGTCTCCTCCCTTCAGGAACTTGGTGTCTCAGGCTCTGCTCTCTCCCTTCTCTCGTCCTACCTCGAGGATCTGTGTCGGAACCTTGTCCTCTTACTACTGGAGTTCCTCAGGGTTCCGTCCTGGGTCCCCTCCTCTTCTCGCTCTACACCAACTCTCTCAGCGCTGTCATTCGCTCGCATGGCTTCTCCTACCACAGCGATGCCGATGACACCCAACTAATTCTCTCCTTCCCTCACTCGGATCTCTGCCTGTCTGACTGACATCTCTCAGTGGATCCGCCCACCATCTGAAAATCAGACTGAAGTACTTCTCAGAAGGCTGCCCAGGTACTGATTCAGGCTCTTGTCATCTCCCTCCTGGACTTCTGCAACTCTGTCCTGCAGGTCTCCTGCTACCTCCATTCCACCTCTGCAGCTCATCCAGAATGCAGCAGCTCCACTGGTCTTTAACCTTCCTAAGTTCTCCCTCACTCCTCCACTCCTCCGCTCTCTTCACTGGTACCGGTGGCTCATCCAGTTCTAACCATGGTGCTCATGTACCGTGCTGTGAATGGATGGGGTCCATCTTACATCCAGAACATGGTCCAACCCGACATCCCGACCCGCACTCTCCGCTCTGCATGTGATAAACTGCTTGTTCCTCCTCACTGAGAGCAAAACACTCGACTAGATCTCCACTCTTTGCTGTCCTGCTCCTAAATGGTGGAAGGAGGTCTCTGAAGACATCAGGACCACAGAGAGCCTTCACATCTTCAGACTAAAGACACACCTCTTCAGACTCTACCTCCACTAACACACTAACTAACTGCAGCACTTACATTGGACTTATAATGGTTCTTATCTACAGCAAATTGTAAATTGGCTTATTTGATGAAGTCACACTTTCTTGTTTCTTGCTCTTCTGAGTTTGTGTCCTTATGGTTGAAATGTTCTTATTGTAAGTCGCTTTGGATTTATATGTTTTTGCATCCTTCTATTATAAAAAGAAGTACAAGCTCTCATGATCACGGGTGCAAACAAAACAAATACTCACATCTGCTAATAGAACTTCCTGTTTACGTTTGCTGTCATTTCAGCTGCACATGTTTCCTGGATAGTTATAATTGCTGGATGGTTATGATGCTCATTTAGGTGGCACAGCTTTGACCGCAGCCCACCTGGA